ACCTACCCAACATCTGACTTCGGGATGGAGCCTTACTCTTCATGGCTTGTTCAAAGCGAGGAGCATCTTCTTGAGAGATGCTGTACCACTGCTTGGGAGCACCGAAGTGGATATAGTTGATACTGTAGAGATCCACATCCTCCAGGTGCCATGCGAAAGTAGCTTTCCACATTCCCAGATAAAGGTACGCCGTGTTGACACCAGGCACCTTCTGTCCCAAGACATCCAGCAGATTGGGTAATCGGGCGACATTCCATGAAGTCGTAATGTTATCATCGAAGAGAGATCCCGGCATATCGGCACCGTACATGGGATTATTGAACATCAAGGATTTCCAGTAGTTGGTCTCAAGCTCCTCGCATCTTTCGTAGGTGTAATCCTGGCTATCATCGATGCGGTAATCAAAGTCTTGGAAGGCTTCTTCGTCCACATAATCGATCGCATCGCCCTTGTTGTGCTTTCTGCGAGATGTGACAGACTTGGGTTGTCGTCCTTTGGGCTTCGGGCCGGGCAAGGATTCGCCGTCGCTCAGTTCCTCGTTTTTCGCCTCGACGGGGTTCGATTCGGGAGACACGGGTGTTGGCGGGCCTTCCGGCTTGATCTTGTCCAGGCCCTCGTCGGCTGGCGGTTCTTCCTTGACCTTCACCTGGTTAGCCCGTTTCGGCGGGCGACCAGGACCTGCACGACGTTTCTGAGAGTCCGATCGAGCGTTCTGGGTTTTGGGAGCAGAAGGAGCCCGGGTCACTCGGTCCTGATTCCGGCGCCGTTCACCTCTCCGCGCAGGTGGCTGGTGACTGCTTTCCTCACACAAAGCTTTCCACTGGGGCAGATTGTATGATCTTTGTCTCTCGATGTTGGCTTGTGTGTATGTTCCGTGCGAGCCATGGAATTCCTGCATGATCGGGTTCTTCACACGGATCTTCTTAACGGCTTCATCAAGGGGCGGTAGGGAATCAGTCCTAAAGTTGGTCACATCGGTTAGCGTCCTGCCATGAGTGTTTGTCCGCATAAGCGCCGAGCCATACCATTCTTTAGGAGGAATAACTTTGATGATTCCGGAGCGCATGCCATACTCCTCAACCTTGTTGATGAACGATTGGAAGTCGCGGAACTGATCCATAGTCTATTGAGATGCCCATTAGCCCAAACCTTGGCCAGGATGGGTAATATGGTGGAGGACTCACCGGCTTGAACACCGGAATCTTGCCGCCGCCATAGTAATGGTCCGGCTCAATCTCCTCATCGTCCGCCTCTATCGATGGTATCTCCTGGGCGCCGTTGACATTGGGATCGAGCTCGAGATCGGAGAGCTCTGACGGAACTCCATCGGGAACCTCTTTCTTGCCGTTCACGCTCTGGGGAGGAGTGATTGAGGCTGCATCGGTCGCCGGAGCGCCGGCGATCGGGTCGAAAGGGGGTTGATCAAGCGCTGCCGCCATCATCTCAAGATGGGAAGAACGAAGGGTGAAATTGGTCGGAAGTCGATAAGGATGCCGTCGTCGGAATATGCGACCGCTGATCGACGGCAGGAGAGGGAATCCCAGCGGTCGGGGGAGAGGACGTTAAGAGTTCGGAAAGGACTTGTGCTGTAGATCGGTCAATATGGCGCAGGGACCTTTTTGGTATTTCTTGTCGCAGTTTGAATTCCGACGAGGTAAAGGAGGGAAAGAAAATAGAATAGAATAAAAAAAGAAGGATTATTAAGGCTGGCGAAACGGAACTGGGTATTGGGGGTACAAGATAAGAGAGGTAGTAGTAGGTGTAGTAGTAGCAGTGGTGGTAGCAGTAGTGGTGGTGGTAGTAGTAGTGATGACGAAGGAAGAAAGGGTTGGTGGACTGCAAGGCTGGATGATCCGAGCTCCCAGAGACGAATTGCTGGGTATAGGGATCATGCGAAGCAGCAGCAGCAGCAGCAGCAGCAGCAGAAAAACACCAGCAGGGAAAGCGATAAAGATAGGGACCGGGTGGAACGGGTGGGTGGAAGTAAAATTAGCAAGTGGATGATGAGATCGGTATCAGCAGCGCAGTATCACCACACAGCATTGGTAGAGAGAGCGCAAGTCAGGTCAAGCAAGCCCCTCCTCCGGTTTGAGGGCAACGGAGCGAGAAGATTTGCCGTGTGGTGCAGGACCAAGCAGCAAAAAGGAAGTTCGTTCGCCAACGAGTGCAGGGCCGATGGGGAACTTTGGACGCTAGCAGCAAAAGCAGGAAGCAAGAAGAAGGCAGGGGGAAATAGCAGAAGAGGAAAAGGGAAGGCGGAAGAGCCAATCCCAGCAATCCAGCGTCACGTCGGACGGTCCAAGCTGTGGATCCGGGCCAGAGCGACGATGGCCTGACTGACTTTCTTGGGAAATAAAGGAAGAAGGGGAAATGAGGGTGTGGAAATGCAACAGATTGGTAGAAAGTGATGGGAAAATTAATGATGATGATGATGATGATGATAATTACTGCTGTCGTCTGCACTGACTGTACTGAACCAGTCTAGTAGTAGTCAAAAGAAAAAAAAAAAAAAAAAAAGCAGTAATAGCAACAAAGTAACAAGAGCAGTAACAGCAGAAGTAACCAGCAAGTAACAGCAGCAACCAACCTAACAACCTGCAGCCTGAGCGCCTGAAAATTGAACTGCTTAAGGCACCAACTCCGCGGCGCGATACTCAGTCGAGTCAAGGCACGTAATAATTTGGTTCCCGGCCGCGAGCAGATCTCAGCACGTCTCCGGTGTCGGGAAATGCAGGCAGACAGGCAGACAAGACATGAAACAAACCAAGTACAGAGAGAATAGTATGAGGGAATTTTAAGATACTCACTTTATACAAGGTATGCCCGAGAAAAGTGAAAGTAAGAAAATAAAATTAAAGAGAATGAGCTTTCTCTCCCCGTCAATAGACTATGGGAGAGATAAATTATCTAGTAGTAGCCTTACTCGTCGTATCGTAGTAGCAGTTTCTTTCTTCTATGTGTAATACTTCAAACAACTTTCTGGGAAATGTCCGAGCGAGAACTCTCAGAGTTGCCGCCAGGAAGAATCACGTGCAGCACATGACTGGCCGGGATCAGACACAAGCAACCAGTGCCCGTTACGGTTAGCGTCATACCGGGGGGCGAAAAAAAGAAAAATACTAGGTGTGTGTGTGTGTGTGTGTGTGTGTGTGTGTGTGTGTGTGTGTGTGTTTGGGGAGAAAAAGTTACTGTGGGACGCAGAATACACCACGCGGTAGACATCAGCACGCTGTAGGCTGTGCAGAAACGAAAAACGACTGGGCCTAATTTTTGCATTTTTGGCGAAATTCGGATAGCGGCGGACCCGGCAGAAATTCCCTGGAAGCAGAAAACAACTGCATAGTGCATACTTTTTACTTCCTTACTTACGCCTAGTACTGCAGTAGTTAGACTAGTAGTAAGTCTGTTTTAGTGAAGATCAAATGGTCGAACTTAAGTTGGTTTAGTTAAGACTGACTAACAGGAAGGGGTCTGATCGGTAGTATGATCTCACCAGCCGAGTGTATTATTGGATGGTTATTTAGCCGGTGGTAAAGGCGGCTTTTTGATTTATTACTGACTGAGTAAATAGACTAGAGGTCTGTCTTTGTTATGGAAGTTTAATTAGGATAGACGAAGATAGACGGGCTATGTTACCGTGGGAATGAAATCTACCAGCTAACTAGGCAGGTAACACACACAAGCTGTTCCTTAATGCAATAATAAACCATGTACCTACATTAAACCAAATACTACATGTACATATACACCATATAGTATGATCATATCTAGCCTCGTAAAGCAATATAACTAAACTCAAACCTAAATAACAGGAGTAGTGGTAGCCCAACACCGGAATGATAATATCAACAACTCTCGTATCTACTATACACCATCACCATCATCACCACTGATGCCACCGCAACACCAGTCACATAACGAAAAGGAATAAATCTTTCCTTTCCGACCGACATACACATATACATACATACCTACACGTACATATATACACATGCATATGCACGACAAGCTACCTTGGCTGTACTCCGTAGTAGAACTAGTAGTCACTACCCCCAACGCCAACCCAAACCCTACAACTAGTATTTACCACATAGACCCAACGTCCTCACTCTTCCCATAACACCCATATGCAGAAATACTACTATCTTAGATACTCTTGTCACCAAAAACCGATAAGCTACCTACTCCAACCTCAAACACAGACCTTCCCAATAACCCACTAACCCAATGCAAGTCCACCACCCCTAGTGAATAGTATATATGTATGTATGCAGCATGCAATATGCAAGACAGCGTTGGGCACAAATCTACTTACTTACTTACTACCTTAGCGGGTGGCGTGAACAACCACCACCAACACCACCACTTCTCACTACCTGACCCCCATACCCAAACACCCTAATTGGTTCCTACTGGCTAAATTGTTCGTAATCGGGAGGGAGGGTCAGTTGGCACCCATCCATCCATCCATCCATTATCACATTCAAATAGAGATAATCACAAAATAAATTGATTAGTTGTTCTACAAATCTTTCTTTTCTTCTTTTGTCGATTTGCGTGTTGAAAAGAAAAAGTGACTGAAGATCCCCGTTATGGCCTGAATGCAAAGTAATAGTACTACTAGTAGATTTTACGTGTCCCAGTGGCATGATTCTAGTCTCAACCTAGCGAGATTAAAAGTTTGTTACCGGGCCGGTTCTGATGGAAACAAATCGAGATCGTGCAAGCTGATTAATTAATCGCATTCGTGGTGACGACTTACTAACATCCATAATAGACTAACTAACTAACTACTACTAAGTCAGGCATATGCACCGGGATATGAAAATTCAACCGGCGCGCGCGCGTGGCGTGGTCTGCGTCGGCTAGCGGCGTGCGGAACGGATGTACGGAGTACTGTAAGTAGGACAGACAGCTGTTTCATCGCCATCTGGTTGTGGATGCGGTGTATGGCACCCAAGGTTTATGCATCTCATCCAAAAGAGATGGTGGGGAAATGTCAACGCTGCAAATCATCTATCGCATTGGTATCAATCACGTTGTATATACGCCGAACACCCATCATGGCTAAATCAGGAGCAATGAGTGACGGATAATAAGAAACTAATCACAGTGCATGGGCCTTAGTAGACCACGCCAGCTCATCTCACACCCACACCAAGACAGCTTCAATAATCATTCAGCCGCAACTTCTTCCCGACAAACCGACGTTTCTCCGGCTTTTCGGTGCCCCGCTCCCGGTCTGCATTCAGCCCCTTGAGCGCGTGGAGCAACATCCCTGCATCGAAGAACCCATCTGATTCGGTGGTCAGCAGCTGTGTCGTTAAACGCAAGGGAACACACTTCCAAAGGTGCACTTACATCCGCCCATGCCATCGTCCTCCAGTTCTCCGCTGTCCGTCGTGGGTGTCTCGGCACCCCGATGCAGCTGGCCCGGGTCCCCCCGGACGATCCGGCCCCGGCGGTGATCGCCCTGGAGCCGCTCGGCAATCATCTCCATCTCGCGTGCTCTGCTCGTGCGCGGGCTGGCAGGCCGGTGGTTGACCGTGCGCAGCAGCTTCCGGATCTCCATCAGGTACGATTCCAGCGTGTACATAAGACGCGCAGTCTGTCGATGCTTAGACGAGGCGCAGAACGAGATCGAATCGTCCTTGATTATATAGCCAATGCCGAAACCATCTGCAGACGTGGGCCCGAAGCCAAAGTGCCGTAGGCATGGATTTCCACAGTTGGAGGTCGACAGCACGGTGGTATTGATCTTATCCCAGCCAGCGTCGCTGAAGATTGCGGGCATGGTGCGCACCCCACGTACACTGTAGCCATTGGATGATAGTCCATCTTCCGACAACGAAGTAGAAGACTTGGGCGATTCAATGGACGCGGTCTCCACAGGGCTGGTGTAACCGTTGGAACTGCTGATGACGCTGTTATTCGCGGACGACGCGCCATCATCAAAAGACCGTTGCCACAGGCAGTACAGCGCATAAAGATGTCTATCTTGTCCCTGACCCTTCGAACAATCCTTCGTGATGGCGGTATGCTTCTCGGTCGCTTTTCGGAGCGCGCTCACCTTTTGCTCCGCTGGGTTGTCTCCCCAGAACGTCTTGATAAAGTCGACGCATTCGTTAGTCACCGTCCGAATTGCTTCGGTTCGACCGTGTAAGAAAACTTTAGTCATGGCAGGTTCGTAGGTGTTCTCCATGCGGCCGTAGAGCCCGTAGTAGGCTGCTTGGAAAGCCATCTGAACAAATGCATCCGGGGAGAATCCCATGGAAGTGATGAAGTTCTTGCCATATCCTTTGAAGTCGAGCACTTGGAACTCATGTTGCTGCAAGAGATCGGAGAGGTGGGACTCGGCGAACCGCAGAGCGATGCTGAGCTCAGGCGCCATATCCCATTCGAGCTTGCGGGGTGTTGTGCTGACATTGCCGAAGCTTCGAGGGTCGCGTTTCGCAGGATCAGGGCTGGAGGTCGCCCAGAGGGTCGGTGCCTGGCCGTTGATCGTCCGAGCAAAGCGAAGTATGGTGTCCGTATAGACGTCGCTGGCAAACCGGAGTACTGTGTGGCCATCTACGCCAGTATGTTCGAAGTTGATGCCTGCACTGCCGTTCTTACACACAATGATCTGGAGTTTGTCATACCACCGGTTGGTACAAGTGCCGACCTGCACGCCTCGGACCACTTCGCTCGTTCCGCAGAGCATATTGGCGCAAAGCTCCGACGTGTTGTGTGGTTCAGTGTAGTCCAGGCACAGAACGAACAGAGCCGTGTCCACGATATTGAGGCATTCTGCGTTGTTCGACCCTTCATCCTTGGTGAGGATGTCTCTCAATCCTGACCAGACCTTGCGGTTCTCTGTGCTCAACACACCAAGCGCTCCCTTCGCAGCATCATGAATGGGTGTCTGTTCTGCGTCTCCAATGATGACCTGGAGGTTAACCGCAATATCCTTTTCGTTCATGATCAGGTCACTGTTGTCGTCCAGCACATCGAACCAGTAAATCTGACCCCGACACAGGACAACAATATGTTTCGCATGGGGATCCTGGCTTATCACGCATCCATTGTCGGTCGGGACACGCGCTGTTCCGAATAGGCGAGAGTACTGATACATGCAGAGAGGCGTACCGCGGACAGTGTCGGGAGGGAGTTCCTCCCGCCTCACGGCACGGACAAACGACAAGGCAGAGACAACGAGTGAAGCTGCTCTCGTAACCTGGTTGTTCCTCGCAGGGGTCGGGTCGTCTTCCAGCAGGAAGAACGGGTTCAGGTTCAGCACAACAGCTTCATACAGCAAATCAGTACAGTTAATTCCCCAGGCTTGATGCACGTTTTCACTTACGGCTATCGTAGTTCAAATAAGAGTCGTACCCTGCAATGAGCAGAATGAGTCAGCCGAAGATGACGTAAAAAGGCATAGGGATAAGTTCAATGTCTGATGACATACAGAATTGTTCGATATAGCTTGTTTTTGACGAGGCATAGGTCTTGAGCTTCTCTTGTAGAATAGGGCCTTCTGATTTGAGAAAGTCCTGCACAGCTGCCTTGGTTTCCTCCTGCTCTCGGAGTGTCTGTAGCGGGGCTAACGACTCAAGATATCGCTTGCATGTTTGCTCAAGGTCAGGAATTGGTAACTTGGGTAACGAATCCTGGTTCGCAAAGGTCAAGCCCTTCTTTGGTGGCTCTGATGTTCCTCCATTCACTGACGTAGGGACCGAAGACGGCTTAATCTTGGTCTCCGGGGTTGAGTTCGAACGAAGAGAATCCATTGCGCTTCCTAGAGACTTAGGGGCCGTGAAGTGACGAACTGCTACGGACGAGTAGGACATGGTGTCAGCACAATGCAGCCCGTCCTGGAGACGTATGATGGAATCTATGGAAAAGATGGATGAATGGTATAGGGATTGACGAGGGAGGCAAGATGTTGTGATAGATATTATGATAAATTGGCAGGGCAGTATTAGGGGGCTGAAGGATTATCTCATGACCCCGGCTCACGTCACGAGGAAGATGTGATCATGAAGGATGAAAGGCATGAGATCGAGAAAAACATATGGAAGGCTTGTGCAGCGAAAATGGTATCATATATAGGTAAAGGCCACTTAGGGGGGAAACAATTCATCGTTTCGCAATGATACCCGGGGAGCAACTGCTGGCCGTGGGGTGGAACCCAAAGGTACCTTCGGGATAAAGGGAGTTAGACGGAGGAAGGGACACTTACAGCTTAGCTGCCAACACTAGGGAAACGACCAGGCTACGCCTAGATGAAAGGCTCGAACCACAGTGGACCAGCTCTGCCGGGCCTAACCGTCCGCAGCTGCGCCTAAGGCAAGCAGGTAGACGGGATATCGGGGGAACGGATGATGTCTGGTTAGAGGGGCAGAGGGAAGTATATCCAGCTGGTCTGCCAAGAGATATGCGCGATAGGCCCGGTGGGCCGTACAAGGTGGAGGCGAGAAAGCTCTAGTGCACGAACGCACTGCTATAGCTACCTAAGCATTTAAGTAAGAATCAATATAAGTACCTATCGACACCTCGAGGAGAGGGAAGGTTGAGAATTGAGAAGAGAAGGTCAGGAATGTGCGGAGAGCCCCATCCGGTGCTGAGCGTTGTTCCTGTGGCAGTACCAAAGAGAGGATGAGATGGGAACTGCGGGGGGGGGGGGAGGTCGATCATGTGAAGCCGAGAATCCCAGACAGAAAGAGAGGGAAAGGCAGTAGGAACAACTGCTAAAAAGACTAATAGCACTAGAGCATTAAGTAGAGACACGTACTCGGGATTGAAAGGGCACAGCCAATAGACAAGCACCGCCCAGCTGAAATTAGGTGAAGTGGTACAGACGGGTCAACTGCAGTGACCGCATTAGACAGTAGTTTAATGAGAGATGGAAGGGCTCTAACGAGAGAAATCCTAGTCGATAGCGCCTAGAAGCAACTACTAGGACAAGGATTGGAACATGTGGCGATAATCCTGGACGAGAGCAGACCAATTGGTGACGTTTTCGGACGAAGGGAGACTGTTGGAAAGTCTGGTTGCGGGGAGGAGAAGCTGCCAGATTCTCTCTCCAAAGTCGGTTCCTCCCCCCAAAAGAGGCAATCACCTGGGCTTATTCAGACGGCGAGAAAATGACACCACAAGCTGCAGTCACGTGGGTGGGGCGGGACAGCCGCGCTGACTAGATAAGAAGATAGTAGAGATAGATCGAGATAACAGTAGACATGAACGAACACAGGACTACCCGCTGACATTCTTACTACCTACTTACACTATAGTAGTACTTGACCTACTTCTCTTCTCTCCACACACAATCATGGCCGGGTGTCATGGAAAAAGGTCTCATCATTTTGGCTTTTGTCATCCCGAAGCAAGTACCGATTCTAAATCAGGGGCGCCCCATATCCACACACCCGCTTTGCAATATACCCGAATCATAATCACACAAGAAATGAAGATCATCTAGTCTAAGGCCAACGAGTCATGTTGTCTCTCATTGAGCCCAAACCAAAAGAAAATCAAATAAAAAGCAACAAATAAATATTCACAGGTGAAGAGAAGCAGGAAAGAAAGAAAAAAAAAAAAAAAAAAAAAAAAAAAAAAAAAAGCAAAGGGGAAAAAAAAAAGGAAAAAAAAAAAAAAAAAAAAAAAAAAAAAAAGCAAGTCACGCCGTGCACCTGCTCTAGCCCACAGGCTCCGAGGTCGGGTGGATCCTGTTTCGGTTCTTCGGGCAAGCGGTAGGGTAGATCTTCCCCAGATGGAACCTCCGTCAGAGCGTCTTGGCGATCCGGGCCTGAAACAAGCGCAGAGGCATGTCTCGGACGAAGACAAGCTTATTATCAAAATCAAATAGACAGTGCGAAGGCGAAATGAGATTTAAATTTCAAAAAAAGGACTGATGATCGTCAGATTCTCCATTGTTCGATGTTCGCACATGGCCGGTGGCCGGAGAATCGCCCTTGCACCAGACGGATCAGGGACAGGTGTTTTACTTCCATCACAGGCAGCTCTAATCCAACGCATCGATATCCCCAACGCCCGTCATGGCAACGCTGACCGTTTTACCCGTCAGGTGCAGGGAAACCGACTATAACTTGACATGGTGCAAGAGCGACGGTCTCCAGGCACAGTCACGCGAAATCATTTCTCGCCATCTAGGAGGCAACGTAAACAGATTGGCCGAGAGGGCGCTTGACGTTGGTGGCATATTCTCCCTCATAGTTTCCTGAATATCACGCCTGTCAGAAATCTCTTATCGAAACTTAGGAGGAATACGGGTATACTAACCGGCAGGGCTGTAGTTGCAGACCGTGAAGGGCAGGGCCTCGGAGGCATCAACGTTACCCAGGCTGTCGCATGTGACGGTAGCGCAACCAACGTGGGTAGTGGCAGCCCAGACAATCTGGGAGAAGTGGCCCCAGTTGTCGAAGTAGGTCATGTCAGGGTCGGCCTCGCCGTACAGGTCGGTGTAGTAGCCCATCTCGTCGTTGTACATGAGGTTGGTGATCATGACGCCAATCTCAGAAGCCTCAACGCCATATCCGATGTTCTGACCGTAGCCACCGCCATCAATGGAACTGCACATTCGCGTTAGCGCAAACAGGGATTTTCTGATACGCATGATATACTTACGTGTCGTGCTCATAGACACACTTCGCAGCCAGGGTGTAGGCGCTCGACTCCAAGTCAGAAGACCACTCGACGGAGCTAGCGGAGTGGTTGCTGCGGTGGACGTTGTGGTTGTACAAGACCGCGGACTGGTAGGCGCTGGTGGCGGTCGAGCTAGCGCTGGACGAGGTCGAAGTCGCCAGGGTGGTGGACGGCGCGACAGTCGAAGACCAGGACGAAGTCCAAGCCGAAGTCCAGGCGGAGGTCCAGGAAGTAGCAACCTCCTCAGCAGCGGAAGTGGCGACAGCAGCAGCAGTGGTCGCAGCGGCGGTGGTCTCCACAACAGGAGTGACAACAGACGAAGTGCTGGCCTCAGCAGCGGCGGCGGCAGCGGCAGCGGCGGAGGAAGAGGCCTCAGCGGAGGCGGAGGCGGCAGCAGCAGCAGCAGCAGCGGCAGAGCTGGACGATTCGGCGGCAGCGGCAGCGGCAGCAGCGCTGGAGGAGGAAGCAGCCGCAGTGGCCTCTTGCGCGGCAACGTTCTCATAGACCGTGGGAGTAGGGTACTCGGTGATGGTGGTGGTCAAGGTGACAACGGTCCAGTCGGTCACATAAGAACGCTTATCAACATTGTTGGCCAAGGCACCAGCGGCGCAAAGGGCACCCAGAGCGAGAGAGTAACGCATGATTGAATGAGGGTTGTTGGTATTGTCTTTGCCAAGAGTCGAGAGGATGATTTACTACAGTTCAACTGTGTCCGATAGAGATCGACTTCTCCGGGAAGTTATGCGGCCAAGAGATCAACAGGCACGAAACAGTGTATGACAGATAAAAGTTGATAGGGTTTTCTGGCGATATATGCAGATCGACTGCGAAGTGGTTGGGTTGGTAAGACCGAAGGGGGGTTTGGTGGGTGTATATGTACGAATAACCAGCACGTATGGACAAAAGAATGACAGCCTTCAGGGAGAGGAAACACTTTTTTGAAGGAGTGGAAAAAAGTGCACCAAAAATAAAGGCGAAAAGGTGAGATGAAGGTTGGAAGGGAACGGTGGGAAGGGCCAACGGTAAAGAACGAAGGGCAACAGTGAAGGAACCGAGTGGGCGTGAAGTGATAATATAGTCTGGAGCGAGCAGAAAGAGAGGGCAGCTGGAGTTGGGGCGGCAACTTAATCACGGAAAGGAGAGCGACTCCAGCGGGCGGCGTGTACCCGGTGGGGTCGGCGATCTCTGATAATTAAACGCAAATTAATTCAGACGGGGGGAGCTTCATATACGAGTGGGTTCTGGACGGATCTCGACGTCGCGATGGGTCATGGATGGGGGCCTGTCCCGAGTGAGCAGACAGGCGAGCATCCTTTGACCAGCCAATTTCTTTCAGAACACAGACAGGCACAGAGAAAGATTCAATGGCTCTTTCAAAGCGCCATGCGGTCCCAGCGCATTAATATCGGTTCAGCTCGCGTGTACACCGGCCTAGTTCCACGGAATGCCGTGCCTTGGTGCTTGTGTCCATTGTTTTTCCCCTGAGTGACTACGTATGTCCCAACCACGAGCACGTACCCGGAGATTTTGGAAGGGAGGGGGGATACACAGTAGGGAATTTTTGGTGGAAGAATAGCAAAGAAGATCGTCTACGATAAACTGACCGGCCAGTCCCTTTGGTTGATGATACATTCCCGCCCATGGCGTTTCTGACAAGGAATCTTCCAGGGCCAGGGTCTCTGACCTCCACGTCCCTGAGACCTGAGACGATGTTGGATCCAGAAAGAGTAGCAGACGCGGGAGAGAGATACAGAGAGGATACAGAGTGCAGCCCATAAGGCGGCCCGACATCGCGCCTCACGGTTACCGGCAAATCGATATAATTACGGAGTATTTACTGTACTAACTATCCAGTGACGAGGTGTTTTTCTGTCGCATTATTTTTTTGCCCCTGGAAAAGTTGGGGACCCAAAGGAAAAAAAGAGGGCATATTTTGCAGGGATTGGATTGTCCAACCGTCGAACAAAATCCCGTGCCCCTGGCTCGCCACTAAGCTACTCTGGGTCAAGGCGCATGCCGCCCGTTTCAGGAACGGGCGCTTCTAAGCCAATCAACGCCCCGTTCCAGGTTGATACGCTGACGGTGGGTCTCTCACGGTCGCAATGGATTAACAGCCCACCACCCATCCTTGGGTCTTTCTTCCAATTCCACGCTGGCTAGTCTAGTAGTACTGCTGGTGGAAGCAACACATTCAACTCCCCTCTCGTTGTTGGTCCATCCCAAAAGTCCAGACCAATGCCTGTCAACGGATCCCAAGGTAGTCATCACTCTTCACTCTCTGCAAAGACGGTTAACATTCGTCATGCCCAAGAAATACCAAGACCAAGAAATGAGCACCTCTGAAGCTCCGAGGGGAAAACTCTCCGATGTCAATGTAAGATAATCTATTCGATATTATTAAACTCAATAATATGAGCGGAGAGCAATGACGAACAGGCATCATCCTCATTAAGTCATTATACTGGCCCTCCCCTCTCCTCTCTTCTCTCCAATAAGTCTCTCATAGTCAGCCAACTTAACCAACCCCCCAGTCCACCGCAAATTTGGGGGTCGGAATAGAACACCGCCCACTTCGAGTAATTCCCAGGGGTAAAAGTGCAGGGTCGCTAACTGTGATTAACCACCAAAACTTGGCAACTGACCGACCCACTCACAGCCAGGATGGCGCTCGCTAACGTTTCACTTGTGGCCTTCCCATCATCTTTTCGGAGATTGGGTACCTGGAGCTAGTCTAGTAAGTAGTCTAGTGGCCCGGCTCCAGCTTCTCTCTCTCTCTCTTTTACTCTCTCTTTGCCTCGCAGCTCGATACGGTGTAATATCTAGACCATTTCCCGAGGCCTGTTGCCCCAGGACCACTGCTTAACACTCGGTCGTGGAGATTCCCGTCACACAGTTTGGAGGGTGATGTGTCGAAGTTCTAGAACCATGGATATGCCGTGCCTAGGATGGAGTCCATCTATCTAACAGACGGCTTTTTCCCCTTAGTCTAGATGAACCCATCCGGTGGGAATTGCGCCATTAACAGCCATTCTTTGGTACAAACGCCCATGACACTTGTAGAGCTTCAGAGAGAAACGAGAGAGGAGAGGTTCGCGAGAGAGGGAGGGAGGGGGGGGATAAAGTCTCTTTGCATCTACACACAAGCCCCCTCTCCGGTTCCATGGTTCCCAACGGATAAAGACACCTCAATCACATTCAGATTTATCATCGGCTTTGAACTACACCATACATCAAGCAAATCATTGTCATTGCTTTCAAGTAAATCCTTCTTTGCCACTGCATGCGGATCCTTGGATACTATCTTCCTTCTAGAAGAGAAAAAATTTCGACAGGTCGTAAGCAACAACTCTGGCCATGGATACATACCTTGTGTCTTTCATGGTTGACATATTATTTCTTCTGCCTAACTCCGCACGGATACACACATACACACGTGTACATTTCCAAAGAATTAGAACGATAACAAGCTGAGTTATTTCCAAAGCACCATAATGAAATAACGAATCCCCTGTCATCCATCCAATCCCATCGATTGGATACACCAGCTACTTGCGCGTTTAGCATTGAGCTTGGCGGAAAAGTGTGGACAGTCTCAACACATAACATGAGAACATCACAAAATTAACTTCATCGACAATCCACATGACATCTGACTAGCTTACGTTGCACACATACACATACACACATCCTACAACTTAATGAGGAAGAGCTTAGCGACGACCAAAACTTCAACCGAACCAGCATCCAATTCTCTGCATTGGATGGACTGACCCAACCCTCGGATGCATTTCCGCCTTTGGGTGGGATTTTTAAGCGGAGCATCCCGGCACCAAACTTCGGCTCCGAGTGCGCGCGCAGCCCCTCTTTGGCAGTTGTCCCATACAACAGATATCAGGTGGGATTGTAGACAAACAAGAGTCTAGATTCTAGTGTTCTATCAGATAGAAAAAAAATTCAATTTGGTAATGAGATTATAACTAGAATGTCGTTTACAGATCCGAATGTAGACAGTAAGTATATCCCTCTTATTATTAGTAGTAGGATATATTTCTGTGACACAACATATCATCATCTCTACTTGATTTGAACAATTCATAACCACAATTACATACAAATATACACTCCTAATAACTATGGCTTACTACTAGTGCATGAGAAACATAATATACCCCTACAACACATACATATAGGTTCTTGACAGCAGTACTAGTCTTGAACTATAGCCCCGAACCCGACCCGAACTTCAGTCCATACTAGTATTGAACGTAGTAAACCCCATCCACAATAAACACCACAATCAATCAATTAACAATGAAAGCGGATGTATCTTATTCCTCCCGACAAGATACTAATACTACTAAGACAGATCATAGCACCTACTGTACTTCCAAATCAGTGTAATTTCCATCCCCAACCAATCAAACCACATGACATCCCTCCAACCCTCAGCAGGCAACCAGCCAACCAACCAACCCGAATCTCGATCTCACCTGGCAAGTCCAGATCCTCACCTCACTGACACCCAAGCGGCAAAAAGAAAAGGTCCAAAAAAGAAAGAAACCCCAGCAATGACGTACGTATAGTTGAAACAGCCGATGAAACTGAAACTCAGACTCAAAACAAAGAATTGGAAACAAATGCACATAACTTTGTTACCCCTCCCTCAAACCCAAATTTTGTGTCACCCCCTCTTTGTAAGTAGTAAGCAAAGCAACCCAATGAACCAAATAGATCTGTTGCTGTGTGACTAGATGCGGTGGAACGATGCTCAAGCGTATCGCTTATTGGGGGTTTGACTGAATTATTTGCATTGAGGCTGAGACTGGGCTACTGCTACTAACCCTGTGTTTGTCATACACAAGCTGGACTATGTAGAGCGCTAACTATCGGGATCATCCCTAGAAAATCGTATCAAACTGTTGACTGATTACATACAATAGCTGTAGAGCTGAAACATCCTGCAAGGCCTGAAAATACACTAAAAATATTTCCATTCATTGTACAGTTCATACTATATTCACAACCCGGCATCGCCCACTTTCACAAACCATGAGATGATTCTTCGCCGTCTCAGACGCTTTCAGTTCCCTATACAACGGATTTCGCGTCCGTAACCAGAAAGATTGATTCCCTACAAAGTCTCCCACATGAGACGCTCGGATATCCACAAGAGATGCGGTCGTGGTCGCCGTCGATATCGCCAACCCGGCTTCCGCCCGAATCTTCTGTACAATCATGTCCCGCACACAGACTGGCTCATCTGTCTTTCTGATCACGCCCTCAGAAGCTTGGACACTGCCCTCGGTCACGGCGGTAGCGAAGACACCCGTGACATTCCGTGTCCCCGTTTCCAATCCAACAATAGCGTCCAAAAGCCCAACAAAGAGGAAGGGGTGTTGAAGTATCTCCACGGAAAATGAGCGGCATGTTTGCCGGGAAAGCGTCTTGTATTCCTCGTCTTCCAACAGGCTTCCGAGGCGCAACAGATTGCGGGCAATAACCCCATTGACAGCTGGCGTGGCCGACTCCGTGCCAGTCTTCAGGCGAAGGAGCGGACCCGGAGCCCCTGATGTCATGGTGGAAGGTGTGCTATAATATCCTGCTGGTGTGGTCCCCACATAGGCAAGGAAGTTATCGTTCAAATATTCTAGTAAGAGCGTTAGCATCACAAGTCTTCCACCGACGCAGTTGAGAATACGTACTCTGCAGTTGCTCGGCGAATTGCAGGTAGCTGTCATCAAATGTAGCCTCGTACATGTCCAGCAGCCCGCCGATCAAGTATGCGTAGTCATCAGCAAAACCTGGGGTATTGCCTCTGCCGCCATCCCGATAAATGCGCCAGAGCTGTCCAGTAGACTTCTCGAATAGATTCTCCTTGATGAAGCCGATCGCCTTCGCCGCTGCCTCGCGGCATTGTACTGCTTTTGAGCTCTCAATCTCCTCGAACAGCGCACTGCACTTAGCCAGAGCACCAATGGCCAGTCCATTCCAGGCAACGATGATCTTATCATCCAAATCGGGGCGCACGCGCGTCCTTTCGCGGTAATCCCGGAGTTTCTGCTTCGCTGTTCTAATGATCCTCACCACCTCCTCTTCCCCTAATCCAAAGTCCTTTGCAAGCCTGCTTGGAGTTACCTTGACCGATAGGACATTCTGGTTCATGAATTCATCATGTGGGTCGTTCTCAGGCGCAATGTTCCCGTCAGGCAGGACACCCCAATGACGGGCGCAGACTCCCGCATCTCGTTGACCCAGCACCTGCGTCAGCTCCTTCAGCGTCCAGACATAGAACGCACCTTCTCGCTTCTCGGTATCATTGGGCGTGGGCAGACTATCTGCGTCCTCGGACGAGTGGAACGCGCCCGTTGGCGACTGGATGGGTGCAGTAGTCAAGTAGGTAGCCAAGTCGTAAACCGCACCCAGCAGCTCGGGGTTGTGGGTAATCTTGAATGCATCCACATAGACATCCAAGAGCTGTGCTTGATCGTACAGCATCTTTTCAAAATGTGGCAGGCCCCAGTCGCCAGTGACACTGTATCGTGCGAAACCGTGGCCGATATGATCCCGGATACCCCCGCGCGCCATACTGATAAGTGTGTCAACAGCCATGGCAGTTGCTTTGGCACACTCATCACGTCCAACAATGTCCGCAACCGCAGTCGGATAAATACCCAAACGTAATAGGAAACTCAGGTTAGATGGAGTGGGAAATTTCGGCGCAGTGGAAAAGCCACCGTGGAGAGGGTCGTATCGAGAAACGAAGTGCTGGTAGGCTTCCTCCAGAAGCTCGAGGTCCAAGTCCTCGTCGGCTTGCCGGTCACCTTGGTAGGAATGTGTCCCTTCTTCAGCAAACTCGCGAAGTTGTTTCGTAATTTCCTTCGCACTCTCACGGCATCGCAGTTGTTGTGTTTGCCATACATCGCTTAGTTTCTCGAGGATCTCGACGAAGCCAATCGTCTCATTTCCTGTCAATGTGGAGGAGTTGGGGCCCGGCCAATAGGTACCACCGAAGACCGGCTCCAGATCAGGAGTCAAGAAAACGTTCAGAGGCCAGCCTCCAGAACCAGTGGTCGCCTGCACGTAGTTCATATAAACATCGTCGATGTCGGGTCTCTCTTCGCGATCGACTTTGATTGGAATGAAAGACTGATTAAGAATGGAAGCTACCTCCTGCGACATGAATGATTCCTTCTCCATTACGTGACACCCTGAGTTGACGTTAGAACGTTGTGCCGCCACAACGCGTCGCGAATGGAGAGCTTACAGTGACAAGCCGAATAACCGATACTGAGGAAGATCAGCCGGTTATGGCGTTTGGCCAAATCGATCGCTTCGGCATCCCATAGCTGCCAACCCACCGGGTTGTTCATATGCGCCCTAACCTATTCACGAGTCAGTTTTGGACGCGAGGGCAGGGGGTTTGTCCGAACTCACATAAGGCGATCGGCTTTCGTGCAGTCGGTTGACGAGTTTCGGACCGGCGTCGGTCGCGGCATCGTGGTGCATGGCTAATGGAGCAGCCATTCTGTTGAGGCCGTGAGACATTCACGCAGTGATCCACTTAGGTTGATAGATGATTCGTCTATCCAGCCCAGAAGGGTACACAGCCTCGGAAAGGCGCGTTGTGAGAGAGGGGAAAATAGTTGATAAGATACCACCTCCGCGGTTGGACCCCGGCTACCAAGCTAGACAGGGGAGGGGGAGAGGGGTGTAAGGAGATGGAAAGAATGACCAGAAAGGAAATAGGAATCAAGATGGGGCAGGAACGACAGGCCACGAGTAGTGGTGGCAAGGAAGAGCCAACTAGATAGAGGTATAAGGCAGAAGGGCAGCAGGAAGAGCGAGCTAGTGGGATGAGGGGGAGGATGGAGAAGGAGCGAGGAAGCAGCATGTGCCCGCGTTAGACTGGCCCGCATCCGGGAGATCGTCGGCCGTCGTGCGTCATGGGTGCATCAACTGGGTCACGTGTGCTCCTGCCTCCTTACTCGGTGCATGTCCCTATGTGCGAGTGTGCCTACTCTGTACATTTACAGAGATATTCTACAGATCTACGATTTGCCTAGGCCCTAATACTCCGCACGGCGTGGTAACATCCCTGTTGCTCGATTCGCCCCACCAACAATAAGCCAGGGCAAGCAACGCAACTGCACTCAGTCCTCGGCCATTAGTTCCGCCAGTTCCCGCTCCTCTTCTTCCGTCAGCATCGTCCCCGGGGTTTGTTGCTCTTCCTCGTCCTCCTCGTTGTTTTTCTTCGCCTTTGCTACTGCAATTTCAAGTTCATCGGGTTTCAAGGACCACTGGCGGATAGTGGCATCGATACTGACGCTGACGACAGTCGATCCGAGAAGCATGAGCCCCGTAACCTCTTCGAAGTGGCCGGAGAAGGTATGGTAAAGCTGTCCGGTCTGTTCAGTAAAAAGTATATATGTCAGTAAAATTCCCATCGCATAGGAAATAAAGCGGTATGGTACTGGTGATATGTACGTACCGATCGATTCCACACGCGAACCTCCTCATCTCGGCAAGCAGTGACCACCCAGCCTCCTTGTTCGTAGACTACGACATCTCGCACATAATCCGGGTGAGTGAGCGTCAAGTTGGGCTTCCAACCATCCTCTCTCACAAGACACTTGGATGTCTTGTCCGCCGAAGCAGTCCAGAGATCAGCGTCGCGGTCAAAGAAAAGCTTGTGCACGTTGGTATCGTGGACGAGAAGAGCCTCTGTGCCAGTAAGGTCCTTACTGCCAGTAGAAATGTCGAATTGACGGATCTGTCGGTCACTACCCGCACTGAACACAATCAACTCGGAGCTGTCTGAGTCGAGAGAGACGGGGTCGAGGGCGAGGTCCTGGATTCCCTTTGCATGACCTTTCATCACCGCGAGTCGCTGTCCGGTCGCAATGTCGAAGACAATGATTTGTGCATCGGCGCCTCCTGAAACAAGAACATCCTGACCTTGTAGTCTTGTGCTGATGACAGACCTTACAAAATCGGTATGGCCCTCATAGCGCAACTTCGGCTCCTTCGATTCCACATCCCAACTCCAGATCGTCTTGTCCCAGCACCCCGCGAACAGCAACCGGCCATTGGGGCTAAAGCAAATACTCGTGACGGGGGCAGTCGGGCCTTTGAAAAGAGCTGCAGTTTCACCGGTCTATAGGGAAAGAAACGGCTTAGCCCGGGTATTCGTAAGACACGCAGCAGCGAGAATACCATGCACCTACTTCGAGTATGACCTTCCTGACCGTACCACCACTCTGAGCTACATAGACAGACCCAGTACTCAGAGGATCGGCTGCGACTGCGAGGATTTTACTCTGAAGACGGATGGGATTGCCATTGGTGTTTTGGGACTTCACATCCTTTCGCTTCTGCTCATCAAGGGCGGCTCTGGGAGGCGTGGGGCATCAGCGACTAGCTTGCGGATAGGAGGAGCTGGGCGGTAGAAGATGGAGTGACGAACGTGGTTTGGAAGAAATCATCCCGGTGGGAGGATTGGGCCATATTGGTAGGAGGGGATTTTTAGTTGATGAAACTATTATTATGACCAAGAATAAGGAGCAGTAACCAGGAAATGGGGCAATGTAATAGCCAGATAAGACCCAGACAATGCCTAGGATGCTATCCACAAAGCCAGCTTTTGGTGAATAATGAATACTACTAGCATTCCCCGCTGACGGAGCTCACGTGGTCCGTTCGGGCAAAACTAACGAAGGAACTGCATGTTGAGCTTCTCCCGTCCACCGGAGCCCCAGCCTTTCCCACCACAAAACCTCCGTCGTTCCTTTTTAAACCTTTTCTCTCCCTCATCTTCCCTTCTTCTCTCTTCCTCCCACTTCCTTGCCCTTCCCCCCCTCCCACCTCCCTCCCCATTGAGCAGAGTTTTCCCTCCTCCTTCCCTCTCTCCCCCCTGTACCTTTCTTTTCTATCTTGCGCGTCAATCGCGCACACTCCCCTGTCAGCATGGATATGAACCATTTAATAGGGTCAGTGTTCTATGCCACTACTGGTCTGAACCAGGGTTTGTGCGGCTAGGCGGGAGTTAACACCTGGCAGTCAGCGTTTCAACCTGATCTCCAAGAGTGACATTCGGTATGTTCGATCCTTCCCTTTCCCGGCTATCTGGCCTTCCTACAGCTGCTTCGTCGCACCTGGCTGCACCCCCCGGATCAAGACTGACTTGACCTTGTCAGTTATGTTGGAACGTTGCATGAGATCAATCCTGAAGCATCCACCATAGCTCTGGAGAATGTTGTCTCTTTCGGGACCGAGGGTCGTCGAGGCAATCCCGCTGAGGAGATTGCCCCGTCGGCCAGCGTCTACGAATACATTGTCTTCCGAGGCAGTGACGTAAAAGACATTAGCGTAGCAGAGGACACGAAGGAGAACAGTCAACCTGAACCTCAGGTGCCAGATGATCCCGCCATCTTAGGGGTAAGTTTATCAATTCTTCACTTCATTCCAACCCTTGCCTACCCTTTGGGTGCTTTGCGTCCTCGGACTTGTTCCGTACGGACACTCGATCAAATGATGAAATATTTCGGATGTAAACTCACAGACCTGTTCCGAATTGCGCAAACAATTCATGTGGATATTTTCCGTTGCCTTCCTTCTGAATGATCGAGAAGCAAAGCACTTTTAACTCTGCCTTTTCACACATCTTCTCTTTCTCAAGTCATGATGCTAATTGAGTTTCATGAAACAGAGTATGTCTCGTCCGGGACCTACTTCCCAGGGCTTGCCTCCGTCACAACAGCCTCAGGTGCCTCGCCCGGCGCCTCCTGGCTACCCTCAACAACCGCCGTTCCAAGGCTTCTATCCTCCATATGGACAACGCTTTGGAGCTCCCGGTTTCCCTCCTGGACCTGGTTTTCCTAATATGCCGTATGGAGCCCCGCCACCAGGATGGTTTCCTCCCCCGGGTCAAGGATTCCCCCAAGGACCAGGCCAGTTCCCCCCACCTCAGATGCCTATTGGACCCCCTGGCCAACACCAGACCCCTCCTCCGCAGCGACAGGGGGTACCTGGCGCAGGCCCCGTAAATGTCCCTAAACCCACCTCTGAGCTTCCCGTTGGTGACCGGCCGTCCAGTAAGCCAGCCAGCCGGAATGCCACACCCGCACCTGGCGTCTCTGCTCAGAATGCTCCTCCGCCCCCTGTTGAATCGAAACCATCTGTAACGGAGGCCGTACAAGCCTCCAGTATTCCTGCTGCTGCCGCGGCTCCGACTCCGGCCAAGATGCCACCTACTGGACCCCGGAGCGGACGTGTGCAGCCGGCGATTCCGATCAATGCTCCCTCCAAGCCACCTGTTCCTGCTGTAGGCAATCCTCCTGTCGCTGGCGCTGGAAGCAGTGTGCCGCAAGGTACCGCTCAGGCGGCCATTACCGAGGCCACGCGTGCTGCTACGGCGGCTGTTGCGGCGGCAATGGCCAAGCTGCCCCAGCCTAACGCGCCCAAGAAGCCTGCGCATGGCGAGGTGTCCGTTGAAGGAGTAACGAGACAGATGGCGGAAATGAAGCCGTATGAGGGCAACCGCGCTCCCCGTGGTCATCATCAGCATCCCCGTGGACGTGGCGGCCACCGCGCTCCCTACCAGGGACAGTCGAAGAAGGTCGAGGTTCCTGATACGGACTACGACTTCGAGACTGCCAACGCCAAATTCAACAAGCAAGATCTGGTCAAGGAGGCCATTGCCACTGGATCGCCTGCCCACGAGGCTGAGACCGCTTCCATCACTAACGGGGACATTGAAGCGCCTGATACCAGTGCTGATGCATCCTCTGTGGCTACCTACAACAGGTCAACCTCTTTCTTCGATAACATCTCGAGCGAGGCTCGTGATCGCGAAGAGGGAACGGGAGGCCGTGTGGGCGGCCGTGAGTGGCGCGGCGAGGAGGAGAAGCGCAACATCGAGACCTTCGGCCAGGGTAGCGTTGACGGCTACCGGGGAAGCTACCGTGGTCGTGGCAGAGGAAGGGGCTATGGCCGTGGCCGTGGTGGCTACGGACGTGGATACTCCCGGGGTCGTGGAGGCCTTCGTGGAGGTCGCAACACTTCGCAAGCCACCGGTGTGCCTACCCAGACATAGGCGGTCCAATTATCGGCCTATTGTTACTATTTCATGTTGAAACTTATCACCATGCGTTTAGCGTTTTGAGTGGCTTTGTCTTTTTATCTGATTTCTTTCTGCGCTTTGGGGAGTATTGAAATCCTTCCACAACTGTCTGCTTCTGATATCCCTGGCGTCTGATGGAGCATCCTACGAGTACTTGAGCTTGGCATTGTACATGTCGGGACATTTCGGATTGTGATTGGGATCACTATGGGTTACGGTGGGATTGGGGAGCTTCGTGCCTGAACGGCTACGGTTGCATCTGGTGTCAAATTTGGCGTTAAATAGTCGCATGGGTTGGTCGTGAGCCTCCTTTGCCTTGCTTGTCTGGACGATGATCATGTCTTCTTTCTTGATGATGCCCGCCCGCGGAAAGGGCGAGGCTTTTGCCTGAGTCTGACACTCCCAGAAGCTGCTCTGGTGGACTCGAGTCTGTGTATCATACTACAAGATGATTCCCCTTCGCATGCAAAACCCGAAAAAAAGGAGGCCAATTGGTCTGCCATCAGGTGTCTTCTCGTAGTAGTTTATTTATTAGTCTACCGTAGTTGGTTCTTCAAAGCTGTCTGTTCTCGGCTGCGTCTAGTGTAGAGATTATAAAGATTAACATGCAGTGGGGGCAAGTCCGGACGGGGAGGCGTGCCTTCTCCCTTCTGCCAAAACCTGTTGAGCATACTCCCTACCGAGGGCCTCTATCTAACAAACCCTTTAAATTGACTTTCTTGCTCTCAAAAATCAGTCTAGTCAATTGAAAGGCTTAACCGCCCTCCATCATGCGGGGAGAGCTTGCTTTCCCCCCCAGTTCCGTGGAACCGCCGGAGCCCATCAACTGGCAAGGGTCCAACGAAGGCCACCAGGACAATCACTTAGTCTGCTCGCCTCAGAGTCTCTCCACTCTCAATCACTACTACATCACCCATCCCTCTCTGATTCGTGCGTCCTGGTTTGACATGCCCATCCTGCCCCATCGTCGGCAAAATCGCCTTCAAAAACGTGCTCCTTACCTCGGTCAAACTGCAAATGGGCTTTCCCGACCGATTATGTGACACTTGTGGGGAAAGACAGGCCCAATTTCTGGCTTGCACCAAATGGCAATGGCCAGTGAAATAGCATCAGAGAGTTCTGATGTGACGCAGATTGGACCGCGGAGAATCAGGATGCTCATCCGGTGTCCCACATCTCCCCTCACTGCGACACACATCGTTCTCTTCCCCGAAGGAGGAAACCGCAGCACGACATCTAGTCAGCAGCTGGTTTATATAGCCAGTCACAGCTAGTTTCTTCTCATTCTTCCTTTCTGGCACTTCAGACGCTGTGAGCGAAGCCATCCCTATCTGATAGATCTGAGTTGTCACCTCAAATCCTACCTATTGTCCGCCGGTTATACTACCTGCCATGTCCGCAACCAAATCACAGGTCCCTGACCAGCTCCCTTGGGACCCAAACTGTACCCAGTTCCCCTCTCGTAAGGAGCTTCCCAAGATTCCAGGTGCTCCAGATGAAGCTGCTTGGGTTTGGGGCAAGGATGATTCGGTATGTGACTAGTTGTTATTGCTCTGCTCCGAAACATATGTTAACGCGTTAGCAAACCAGCTAGGACGACTGAACCTGCTCACACCAGCAAGAGTCAAAGCAGCTGCCGCAGAGATCCAGACTGGCGAGATGATCCGTCTCGAGTGAGTGCTCTCACTACTCATATCATGTAAGCATCAGTGATGGCCAACAGTTCCACCCAGTCTCCCGCTGAACGTTCCGAACCCACCGGCATTCCATCGCCAATCCTTCGAGCACAACATCAAAGAGGTGGCCAAAGACGTCGTCTTCGATGACACATACTCTCTGAACACGCAAAGCGGCACTCAATGGGATGGATTCCGTCACGTATGATACTTCCCATATGAAGTCCTTCCCAACTCCTAGCATACCTACCTAGCTATCTATACTAACTACCAAACCGACATAGTTCGCCCATGGCGAATCCAAAACCTTCTACAACAACGTACGCACACCCCAAACCCAACCAAAACCACCACAACCCCAAACTAACCCAGGTTCAACCCACCAGACCAAATCCACCGACATCATCGGCCCCACCCCCACAGACCGCTGCAGCATCCACCACTGGGCCACCCACGGCATAGCCGGCCGCGCCATCCTCCTTGACTACAAACTCTACGCTGACACCCACTCCATCTCCTACGACCCCTACACGACCCACCGCATCACCTACGCCTCTCTACAAGCCTGCGCCCAATCCCAAGGCCTCGACATTCGTCCCGCCTCCCAAGGCGGAGACATCCAACCCGGCGACATCCTCCTCATCCGCTCGGGCTTCGTCGAGCGCTACAACGCCCTGACCCCCGAAAAACGCGCCCAATATGTCCTCAACCGTGCTCACTCCGATCTCCAGTTTGCCGGTGTGAGCCAGGAAGAACCTATTCTTGATTGGCTACATGATTGTTACTTTGCTGCTGTGGCGGGCGATTCGCCCACGTTTGAGGCGTGGCCGCCGGAGAAGGAATTTGGGTTTATTCATCAGCAGATTCTGGCGCTGTGGGGGATGCCGTTGGGCGAAATGTGGGATTTGGAGAAGCTCGCTAGGAGGTGTAGGGAGATTGGCAGATGGGTGGTCTTTGTGACGAGTGCGCCGGCCAATGTTGTGGGTATGTTACTCTCTCTCTCCCTGTCTCTTTTTTTTACTTGTTTGATTGTTGGGGGATGCTGATTTGTGTGATGTAGGTGGAGTGGGGTCGCATGCAAATGCAATGGCTATTTTGTAGGTGAGGAGAGTATAGTATCTGAGGTAGGTTGTGTGTATGTGTTTGAGAGACTACACATTTCAATGTTGGTGGTACCCATATACCTGAGTAGAGAAGATCTACCTTATGAGGTAAAGAGGTATACAACTACAGCATACATTACTACTCAGAAAGCAACAGCATCAAGGAATATATCATCAATGTTCAATTCATTATGGGTCATCACGTCGTTAGACTCGTCAAGGAACAATAGGAAATAGACATAGGAAATACCCCCCTCCCCTCCCACTCACTACTATCATACCAACTTGTTTCCTCCACTGATGCTATTCAAGCAAACAAATATATGGGTGTAGGATGAAATGCAATGCATCTGCATATACCCAACTCAATCCCTGTTCGCGCTCATCCATCATGCATCATTCTTCTTCAAACATCTATCCACGTTTCATCTGTAACCTTCCATAGATACCAATCAACTCCCACTACCCAAAGTGCGAGATACTCATATCACCACACCACCACACCAACGCGATCAGTCCAACTGTGCGTATTTATTGACTTTTCTTCAGAAAAAATCCTCCGGCCACTGAAAACTCCCCCTATTTTCTCCCTCCTCCGTCATCATCCCTCCCGCCAACGCCCGAGCCTTATCCCGCGCCTCGCGCTTCTTCCCCATCTCCTTGGCGATGCGTCTATCGACCTTAGCGGCCGTAGCAGAGAGATCTTTCGGGAGGGGCGGCACCGGAGGGATATATTCATAACGGGCTTGCTTCTTTTTACTCGGGGATGCAGAAGGAGAGGAAGAAGAAGAAGAGTGGGGGCAGCTCTCGACGATCTCGTTCTTCATTTCTGGTTCGATCACTCCCTGGGAGGTATCGTCCTGAGGGGTAGGGATCGAGTCACTTTGGTGGTGGTAGTCATGATTCTCTTTGTCGTCTTGGGGTGGTTCGCTAGCACTTGCGGAACGGAGGTCAGAGCGGGCCTTTTTCATGCGGAGGCTGGGCTGGACCCGGTTGCGCGAGTTGGAGGCTCGTCGGCGCGCCGAGGGAGAGCGGGTGCTTGCGGATCGGAGGGGTTGGGAACGACGTCGACCGCGCTCTTCGCCGGAGGAGTAGACGGTGGCTGATATGTCTTTGGATTGCTTGCGCTCGACGGAGCCGGGGCTGTCGCTGGTGAGCATTTTGGGGAGCTTGGTGCGGCGAGGGGTTGTGGCTTCCTCGGATTCCGAGGGCTTGTCGGTGCCTGGTGTTGTGGAGTGCTTTGAGTCTTTCTGTTGAGATGTCTTTAGAGACTCTGGGTCTGGGGATTTTCGTTTCAGGGATGGACTGTCTGCGCTTAGGGAGCTTCGTCCTTGACGCTCCTTAGGGGTCCTCGGAGTGAGATGTGGTGTCCCGGCGAGTTCGTGCGGACCGCTGCTGGGCGGGTTTGTCAAGGATGACACGGGGGCTGACGCATTCCTTGGGGACGTAGGCGAGACTGTTGCTGCGGCTTGATACAGCAGCCGCTCTGAAGGAAGCGAGGGAAGCGCCCCGGGGACAAATTTCCGAGGGTAGGGAATCTCTGGTAAGGGCATTGGTGCCAGCACCTCCTGCTCCTCACCCACCAGTTCGCGCAATTCTCGTCGGGCCCGCTCCAGCTTGATCTCTAGATCACTGACTCGCTTCATCAGCTTGGCTTGCCGTTGAAGTTCCTTGCGCGACTTTTGCCGTCGCACTGCGGATCCCTCCAGCTCTTCCGGGAATTTGTTTGAATCTTGTCGTCTCACCAAGGGTATGCCCAAGGACGATTTAGCTTTTCGTAATTCTTGGATCGATGACCGAAGGGAGTTGCCTGATTCTGTGAGCTCGCCCGAATTCTGGCGCGAATGAACTCCAACGGGCCTATATTCCAACTGCTCGGGAATCGGGTTCCACGACCGCTGGGGCGTGTTGGACTCTGCATTCAGATTTTGTAAGTAGCTTCCCTTGACGGTCCCCTTGTAGCCAGACTTCTTCAGCTCCGCATATGCCCTCTCCGCCTGACTCAAAGGGTCACCCGGCTGTTTGGCACCTCCGTCGGCCGGTCCGGCCTTTGATCCCCAGGCGCCGAATGGGTTGAACGCTGATGCAATTGCCTTTCCAAAGCGGAAGATTCCCGAGGGCCGCTGGCCGTTGCTGTTGTTGCGTACGTCATCGCGCATGAAGATGCTCGGCGGTTTCTCGCTCACGCTGTCGTTCATGCTTCCCTCTACAAACCGCGAACGTCGCCCACGAGCGGACGGACCAGCCTGACGCATATGCCTCGATGTCCGTGGGGAGCCATTGCTCCTGCTGTTCGCAGAGTGAAATGGTCTGCGATATCCCGTAGTGGTGGTAGTCGTAGTAGTCGCAGTCGTATTGCCGCCGCTTGGATTCTCCTTCGGCGCTGGGGCTTCACTATCGGTAGCCTGAGCATCATCTCGCTGCTGCAGCGGCCAATCATTTGAGCGCCGTCGTTTGGCCGAGTGAGCGGATGGCGATCTGCTCCGGGCAGGAGGCTGGTCCAGCTCCTCTGCATCATCGAAACGACCCGACTCATCGGTGCTGTAGCCGGACTCGAGGCTGGATTCGCTGACATTGCGCGCGTGCTTGCGAGTCCGGGATTCGCGGGCCGCATGGTCAGCGCAAATGGACTGCAAGGTCTGTTCGAGCTGACGGTCGGTGTCTAGAGGGTCGAGGTCCATGGTTGTGCTGGTGCATCCGGGATCCGAGGCCAACTGTTGTCGGGGAAAATGATGGGTCAGATCTTTTGGTTCACACAGTATCCGCCCGCGCAAGGGAGGAAAGAGTGGATGCTATGAAGTAGAAAGAGGGTCTGACTTACCTCGGTCGCAGCCTCACGATCCGTCATCCCGTCAGTCACAACGTTCCACTTCGACGGATAAGTATAGAAGGATAGGTCATTGGACACCAGAGAAAGCGCGAGACAATGGATAAATAAAGAGACCGAGCGATGGAGACAGCAACAGGGAAGCGAACAGACGGGGAAGCCGGAGTGGGGAAGATGGCAATGATGGGTCGGTCGTTCAGCTGGTAGATGTGGCCCGGGTGGTCGGCAACAAGTCTGGGATAGACTCGTAAGATCTGTCTAGCGGTGAGAGACAGATAGTGAGAAGAACTGATGGACCCGAGCGATTGGGATGGTGATTTGTTGTTGACTGTTGATTGTTGATTTGTTTACTTTCCCCGCCCGAGTTCCTGGGCCAGCCGCCAAGCCACACCAGGCCGTTTTGGCGCCAAAAGTCAGGGCTAATCACATACCAGAGCGACGGGCAAACAATGCTCTGGCCTGAAGAAAGGCATGTGCACAATAGCGCTTTTTTATCCAAAAATGAATTAATGACAAATGAAATGGATGGATGAAGAATGCAATGCGCTGGGAGTACGAAGCACCGCTCTAAATATGGGCTGCAGAATCGCCGAGCTTAAACGGTCACAACACAAGGAAATAAAACTCAAATCGGCCCGGGCAGGTTTCAACTTGATGGGACTATTGGCATTTACCGTCTGCGCTTGGTTTCATGTCTCAAATGATCCCAAGTCCCCACCCAGGATGACAAAAGAAGGACCGACAAAACAATGTGGGGAATATGTATGAACAAAAAAGCAGGTATCACAATCATTTACAAAAAATATCCAAGATGCCAAGGACCAATGTGGTATAAACGTCAAAGACTGGTGTCGTAAAGAAATTGGAACTTCCCTGGGACCGTGTACCCAGACCGAGAGCTCCCCCAAATCCCCTACCAATCCCCCAACCCAAATTACAGATTCAATTGCACGACCAGACGCCGAGACTCCTCCCTTGTATAAACAGTGCTGTATGTATGCATGATTTCCCTTCTGTCGAGTTCATTATATGGCCGGAGAAATTTTGGTGGCCATCCGCCCGTTGGCCCGCTTGTATGCCATTTCGTCCCGGTCGCTGAGTAGCGCCGCCCGGTGAACGTCGGATGGCCTGCGGTCCGCGCTGGGGTAGCTGTCGCTGTCGGGCCGCATGCCATTGTAAAGTGGGCGCTCGCTATGACCAAACGCATCCTCATGAGGTCGCTTCGAAGACGCTGCCGTGCGGGTGTCCCACAAGAATCCCCTGGGTTCCCGGTTCGAATTAGGCGCCAGATTGCTCGGTGGCTGCGGCAGATTATTCGAATATTCGGCAGAGATGGATGCGATGGGCGGAAGTGAAGGAGCGGCATTGGAGGGAGTTGGGGCGCGAGGTGGCACAGGATTGGCCATAGCTCGATATGCAGTAGGATCTGAAGGATGCAATACGCGGATAGGCGGCAAGGGCTTCGAGTAGGTAGAGCGCTCCGCCGGCAATCGAGAGGGGGGATAGCCAGAGGGCATAGTCTCGTATTCGGTGCTTGTTGAAGGGTTCCTTGTGTGAGTATAAGTCGGATGAGGAGAATAAACCTGAGTTGGCGTGGTTGCGGACTGAGGAGTTCCAGGTAGTTGCGGGGCAGGATACTGAGTCCGCGTCGCGCCGAAAGAAAGATGAGAAGTGTAAGAGGAACTGCGGGACGAAGGCGCGATGGGAGCAACTGGAGTGGGTGTAGAAGAGGCCGGTGGTGCGGGAGCAGGCGCCGGCGGAATCGCTCGTGGATAAGCTTGAGGATTCGGGAAGCCGTACTCCGTGGCAGATGGCCGACGAGGAGCCTCAGGCCCATAGGAGAAAGCTGGGTCCACGGACCCAATGCTGGTCGATCGTGGACGCTCAACAGGGTTTGCGTAGGCGTCAGGGGTTGAATACCGATCCGGAATACGGCCGCGGTGGGATCGTTCCTCGTCGAAGTCGTAGTCGTCAGATCGCTTGTCGCCACGTCGTCTCATACGGACGTCGCGCCTGATACGGACGCGGCAGCCTTGCTCTGCAATGATGCGGCTCAAGGAAGTGCTGGTGGTCAGACCGGGGAACTTCTTGGCACTGAAAACCGTGAACGGGACCGAGACGACTTCGAGACGGAAGTTCAGGAACGATTTGGGAATTGAGGGCTTCCCCTTCATCATTGGTGACCGAATTGGTGCGCTTTCATCCGCATCCTTGCTGTCCTTGGTCTCCTCGTACAAATGGAAGCTCAACCGATAAACACCTTCATGACGGACGGAAAGGTCGGGAAAGATGAAGTATCCAGCCTGAGACGGGCGATCCAAGTATGCCACTCCCGCCACCGGGACACCTGTGAGAACGGGAAACGTCGGGGTTGGGGCAAGCCGTCCTTGCGCCATGGGGCGAGCAGTTTCTAGCGTAGCAAACAGGAAGAAATTGGCGTTGTAGGCGAAGGTGATATCTGTCTTGTGCACGTCATCGTTCGGATCGGACTCGAATATACGCAGCTCGACAACCGGTGGGGGATCAACAGGGCGACGGTCCGCAGATGCTAGAAACAGTCAAACATAAGTCAGCCTGGTCTCCAATAATGTCCGCATTGCGTGCAGGGAGTGATGCGTACATTTGGCGCCGGCACCGCATGCTCTTGCACGTTCGGGCTGTTGCATAACATTGAGCTTGTATGTGATTCTTTTGCCTTCACGAGTAATCCGGCTGACGGAATGCTCCGTCTCGTTCACCGGAGGCGAAAGGGGAGGTCTAGTAGCCATAATGTACAGAATGCTCGATTAACCTGCTGTGACATTAGCATTCCCATCCTAAGCCCGGTGCGCTTGCCGCGGCAGGTAAAATGATGGCAACCTGCTCCAACCACCCAGTACTTACTTCGGTCTAAATGGAACAGTAACTATATCGAAGCAGGCATTGAAAAGTTGTGCTGATTGATTTGATGGTGATTGTCGTCGTCCTCCTTTGCCAGTCTCTAGGCGCGACCGAATGTAAAATCTATGGAACCGATCCGGCGGTTGGAAGACACGGACAAGACTTGGCGAGTGGTGAGGTTGGAATTGATATCGGTCGCTCCAAATTATAGCGGATCGGATCACAGTATGGAAGTGTTCGACTATAATTTGAGAAAAGAAAGCAAGTGGATGAGAGAGAAGTAGGGTCTGTCGTGGGTGGATAAGCGACAGAATGGCCGATAGCCTAGCAATTGACCCCAGCGGGCTATGGAGAGGGAAAGGCAAGAGAGAGAGAGAGGTGAGGACGGACGGGAAGGGAGAGAGATTGGAGATGGATGGGGTCGATGGAGGGATGGATACCACCAAGAAGAAGCAGCGTGACCGACAAGAAGAGGGTGAAGAGGGAGGGGGGGGGGAAAGAAGAGATACAGACAGAGAGAGAGGAAGAGTAGGAGGGTGGCAGAGTCAGCCGTAACGAGATGGTTCGAAAAGGCAGATGAGGTGCGCTATAGCGACTATACCTACCATGGACCACACCCACTTTGGCGGGTGGAACTGGGACTGAGAGACTCACACAACTTGACCTTCTGGCTGGGTAAGCCGGCTCCGAGGGTGTGGGTGTAATTGGGTAAAATTACCCTGCTCAGCGGACGGCCCACTTCCGGGTCTGGCTCTTACAGTCTTTTTTGAAGGTACGACTTTCTCCCACTTTAATCACCCCAAGTCTATTTATCGACTGCAATAGCTTCTCTACTACTCACTTACGAAGCATCCACTTACCTTACTTATAAAATAGTCCGGCTTCAAGGTACGAAATTGTCCCGGAGAAGGGGGGATTTTTGAAATGATCTCACAGACTACTTACTTATTACTTTGTAATTCTCCACGCCACCATCGTGACTACTAACTACAAATTAAAGTGGTCATTCGTCATACCATACATAAGTAGTACTTAGTGTTCGGTTTTAATACATCTCTGGCACATTATTATTTTCACGTACTTAACTTCCCATAGATTACCCGGTCACCCCCCAAGGATGAAGGAGACTAAATCTGCGCTACTGAGCCGGAGGGGTGGGTACTGGGTCGGACTGAAAAGGAGATGGGGCCAGAAGAGGGGAAACGCAGCCCGGCCGATCCACTGGGAGGCCACGCTCCTGCTTTAGCCCAAGTGCTAAGGCAGCGGTTAGGTTCAATGGGACATTGCAATCGCGACTGCGACCCTCTTGGCTTGCCTTTTTCCTTCTTGTATAGGAAAAAAAAAAAAAATAAAGAGATAGAAAAAATAAATTGTGAGAAGGAAAAATGCAAATTTAACCCAAGAAAGGCAAAATGAAATAATCAGGCATTAATTCCCCATAAGAGCAAACAAAAAATACTTTACAAATCTTATCGGTAGTCGCTGAGAGCAGTGGGTCTGGCTCTGGGGGCTTTTCCGGCCGGGCGGGAAGGGCAAAGGTCCGTGAATTTCAAGAGAAAAAAATGAGGGGGGAACGACGTCTGTTTCGTATTTGGGAGCAAAAAGAGAAGGGGGCTTAGTTCGGATATCTGATACTAGGAAGATGACCTTTTTGGCACCGGCAAAATATTTACAGGCCTTGCAATTTACGAGGTCTGAACTCCCTGGTCGGATCTTCTTCATGAATTAATTAACAACGACTACTAGTAAGTAGTACGTAGTTAGGGTCGACTGGGATGAATAAGTAAGCAAGCCTCTTGGAATACCCAGGTGCTAACTAGCGACATAAACAGCTTAGTGAGCTGCCATCCTTGATAAGCGACGCAATTTGAATGGATGAAACTTAATCGAGGGCGAACCTTCTCAAATTGCAGCTGGGCAAAGGGGATCCTGTCGGCATCCCAGTTCTTGGTAGATGCTCGTAACTGCCAGTTGCAAGCGCTCAGCTTAGGCCCGGCAGGCTAAACTAGACTCCAGGGGGTTGTCCGGAAGGGCGATCTCTCGCGTCAAACTGGAAGGTGATTTTCTGGCGGTCGCGTCGCTTCCAAATCGATGGACATTATGGGGCACCCGGTCGGCATCAATGCTATTGGGGTTTCTTTCCTGAGATCTGTAGCTTAGGAAAGTCCCGGCACGGAGAAGAGACCGAGAGGCACGTCTGAAAAAAAACTGGAGAAGAAGCCCGCTTTTCCCCCCCTTCCTCCCTAACTTACAAAGCTCTTACTTTATCCGGGTGCTCTCTATAATTGGGAATGTTCTGCAGCACGGACTTTACTCCCTCGAGATGGATCAATAATCATACGAATAATCATCAGACTGGGGACAATAATAGGTGGATGACCATCCAGAAGAAGACTTGACCTTAATCGTATGGTCAAGCTGACTTTTGTCTTTTTACTTTTCAGCTGGAAGTGGGAGTGAGTTTACGGCACGGTGTAATTAACCAGAGTGTTGGTAACCCACCGGACTTCGATCCAGGATGGGCTCATGACTGATCATTGGATTCCGACAACGCTTCACATGAGACAAGTGCTTACCCGACTCGACCCCCTGTCAGTCACGTATAACACGCTGTATTATTGGGCTCGCAATTACCCAGTCCAGCGGGCCGGTTGCTTATCCCAAATGCCTGGGAGCTGGGAAAGAAAGAGGAGCTTTGAAGGATAGCGGGGTTGGTCAATGCGCTCTTTGTCTTCTTTTCATCATCGCTAGCCCTTTTGCCAATCCTGCAGGTTTGCGTGCTATCTATCTGCTGCACTGGGGATGGGCCAGTCTCAAGAGAGGGTCGGCAATCCTGGGGAGGGTTTGCCCCATTTGTCAGTCGGAATCGAACGTTTTGACATTATGCTACTCCGTCCTCTTGTGCGATCTCAGGATTCATTAATAGTAGGCGTAGTTGCTTACTTTGGCACTTTGCCCAAAGCGGCCTGTCACTGGACCGCTGGTTGGTGAGTAGCCCTGGGATAATTATGGCACGCTTTTTGAGTTTGGCTAGGTCCTTCAGTACGCTGTGTGCTCCGAGCCTGGAGCCAATAATCTCGAGATAGGAGATATTCGAATCTTCCCCTGCTATTCAAGGCGTAATACGGTCGCCAAAGATGACTACTACTCATTATTCGTATCAATACGGCACCCTACTCATGGGTACCTAATTAGGGCTGGCCACATGCGAACTACGATGCAGCAATGCAGGTTCCATGCTCTGTTTTCCTCTTTCTCTTTTCTCTCATCTAGGTAGTAAGCAGGCAGTCATTCGTGAGGAGCAGCTGGGTGGCAGATGAGCGAATGACAATCGTCCGTCCGTAAATGGTGATTTCCGGTACCGGCCGAAGGCGAACCAAACAACAATCCGAGAAAAGCAAATCTGGCACCGATCGAAGCACTGACGATCTTAACTGAAAACTACAGGAGCCTGGGATGTGAAATCCTGTCGCAGCCCCCTCCGAATAAAATTGGATCTGCACGAAATGGCCTCTAGTAGGGAAGCCCGGACTGTTCACGGCTTTCAGGGATTATTCCCTACTTAGTGACCAACTAAGCAGGTCGTCAGCTCGACAATGGGGGGGGGATTGCCCCAGCCCCGATCGCAGAACACCCGACCCCAAATCGTTGGAGGATTTCTTTGGTCCTTCAGGTAATTTAGCCTTATGAGCCTGGCGCCTGCAGGCCCATCTAGGCCGTGGTCTTGCCTGCTTGGGATTAGCATCGGATCGCAACCTGCGAATGACGATGGCTGCTCAGCAAATCGGAAGCTGAGACTCCACACCCTCCTCCTGTGCCCACCTGCGACATGATTCGACCACTGCCAGCGACTCCACTGAAACTGCCCTGAATGGGAAAAAATCAAGCGTCAGGCGCCGGCTTTGCCTGGTCCGTCCACCCGTTTGGCTATGGCCCTTGACTCATGAAAACCAGCCCCGATCATCGTGTGCCGTACTGTGGTAAGTAAGTCGGATGGAGGACCTATGGATGGAATGGATGGCTGGATTGTGGAAGGTTTCATTCTGCCCCACCCAGACGGTCCGCACCGAATACAGCGGCCCCATTCCAGCCAATTTGACAGTTTGGTTCAGCACCTCGGCTTTAGGCAGGCATTGTCCTACATTCCACCAGACGAGAAAGTAGTTGAAGACCTACTACAGCATACTCAGTCCGCTAAGTATGTATTATGTATTCTATACTATTCGGACCTAATTAGACTGCGACAAGATGTTGTGATCACACTGTTTTGGAGCTCTTGACGGTAGGTCGGAACGTGGATATTCGTTCTGTAACATACTACTATTACTCCATACTCAGGTGGATTAGTATGCACATAGTCAGCTTGGAGCTAGCTAGTTAAGTATGACATGGTCGAACCGACGTTTACCCTAACCACTATGAATAGACTTGGTTCCTCAGGGGTAGCTGTGACAAGTTGCGGGATAACGGTGTGATGGACACCTCGTGTACCTGCTATGGTGCAACCACCAACCACTGCTCCTACTACTACTGCTACTACTTACTACTACTCCGTACTACTCAAGTGCTACTATTTTAGTGGCAGGCGGACCGACTGACTGATTGACTGATTAACAGACTGACTGCGTGACTGACTGTACCCTCCTACCGGAAAAGAGAAAAGAAGAGAGGGCAAGAGAGAGAGAGTCCCGGGCCCACACCGCACCTTCCCCGGCAGAATCTAGTCGATTTACGGGCGCCTATCACCCCTGCGTTTCGGACTGGAATCTCAATGGGGACTTTTCTCCGGGAAGATCTCCATGTCAATCACTCTAACCTCCTCCGTCTCCTGCTCTACCTGGGGATCATAATGAGGATCAATTTATGGTTAGCAGGTATAGTCTCGGCTGTTTATAGGGAGAGTCAGTCTGGGATCATGTCATGCTCTCCCACAAGGGGGGGAAAAAAAAGAAGAAGAATAGAGTGGGGAAACCCCAAGAAGCCACCGAAAAGCGATGATGACAGCGTGCATCGGCCACCACCCACTTGCATCGACAGCCTGCTTCTCCTGTCATTAATCCTTCATTCATTCAGCAGCAACTAATTGCGACTAGTACATGGTAGGTAAGTAGGTGCCTTGTGCTCCCATCAATCACCACCACCACCACCACCGTTGTCATACCAAATTGATACCGTTGCTTACATGCGTGCCGCCGAGACATGGCACCACCGTCCGAGCGACCCATTCATTCTGCATGAGTTCCAGAAAGCTGCCGGATCCGTGCCGGTGCATAGTAGCACTACTAGACCGTTGACTTTCTCTCTGGTCGTTGGCGTGTACTTCCACCTGAAGTATGTGCATCCAGGCCCATTAACTTTTCCAGTCGAGGCATCCAAGGCAAGCATGTTGGACGCATTCCGTGCTGTGAACTTCGCCAGCACTCTGTCTTCTGGGTCCGGATGCCTCTGCTGCATAAGCCGAGTGTGCGCTATCGAGACAAATTGGCCAGTAACCACCCTGTCGGGTCTACCCGCATGGATCTTCCTGGTTGGGCTGCATGGGTCATGTGTGGTGCTGGGTGTCTGGTATTTGGGGAGGCGTAACAGGTAGCGTGTGAGAGAGCAAGCGAAAGACAAGTTACCGGGAAATCGGGCACATACTTGAGCAGGTCCTTCCTGAGGTTATCACATTGAAACGGTTATTTTGATCTCTGGAAACATCATCACCAGATGGATTTACACACACACAAGTACTTTGCGAGCCACGACGCTAAGCCTAGCTTCTAGCCTGCTTGGGGGGAAACGGGGCGGCGATGTGGCAATGCCACCTCACCACACCATCACAATTATTGCATTCAAACCCTCAAAAACTCTCCTATCGACACTCTTCTGTCGCATTATCTTTTCCATCCCCGAGTATCTCGGACGGCGACATTCGGTCCTAGGCAAGAGTGTCTGTTGTACAACCTTCATTTTGAGGCGCTCTCGGGGATTAAAAAGCCACCCACCGAGCTCCAAACGGAGTGGTGGTCGGCAAGACGTGTGCGCATTCCTCGCATCTGCAGGAGACTCATCCCTGCCCTCTAACCACATCGATCGTGGCAGACTACCGATTACTTTACGAATGGCCCCCGACTGCCTCCTCCTCTTTCTCCCCTCCCCAATTTGGATTTTCTCCGCCAAATTACATACCGAGGCTCGAGTCCAAGAGCTTCTTCCCATCCCATAATCAGTAGCGGGGATGGATCCGGTAATAGCAAGGTATTTCATTCACAACTTACATACTTGGCAGGTCTCATGGTCTTCCACTGGTGAGTAGTTTGAAGGTCATTGGAGAGAATAATATATTATGGAGTAGTAGTAGCCGTGCGATCACCAGTGACATGACAACGCTAAAAGCAAAATAAAAGAAAAAAGAAAGAGTAAAATGAAATTAAAGAAAAAAGAAAAAAGAAAAAAGAAACGCACCGACTGAAACCCTCTCGTGGACCATACTTGAGGTACGAAAAAGTATATTACTCCATACCATCCATCCATCCATCCATTCATTCAAATCCCGTTGCAAATCCCGCGATCCACGAGGCTTAGTATGCAAACAAAAGTACCAGTCCCTCCCAATGCACCTACCTATCTATCTATCTATCTATCTATCCATCTATGTATGCAACTAACTAGTTACTATTTCCGTAAGTAGGATACTTACCATCATATGCACGATTATAATTCTGCATCTGGCACCACCATCACCACCATCACCATACTGTATAGTTAACACCAGCCCTTAAGCAAGCGATCGATGCACAACACATACTACTACGACAGCTTCTTTATTCTCATCCTGGTATCCATCTATCAGTATCCAAGCACTAAATTGTATGTTCATTATTCTTTGCGTAGATCTTCATTTAACAACCAGCAACCACCCCCTCCTCTTTTGTGGCTGGGCGGATCGGCTTTAATCCTTCCTTGGTAGTTAACAAAATATCTGATAAAAATAAATATCGAGATAATGAAAATAAACCCCAAGGATCGAAGCTGATCGTAATGTCTTCTTTTCATGGGAGTTATCCTGAGAGAATGTGCATACTGAACTATGGATAACTATCCTCATCATCATATAGATACAGAGCTGCCATGTACTACTAGTGCGTCGTATAGTAGAAATAGCTACAGAGGAGTGCATCTTAGCTTCATCATCATCATCATCATCATCATCATCATCCTCCTCCTCCTCCTCCTCCCCATTGATGCTCCACTCCGGAGGAAATAGTTTATCTATCTATCTATCTATATTTTCATGGCTGTCAAAATATTGAGCCCTGCACGGAGCTGGATGTCCCCACCTCCCCATCCGTCCTAACATGAGTTAGTTAGCTATGACTATTAGCTGTAGCTATCTATCAACTAACTAACTATCGTACTTACTTAGTACCCTCCCCCCTCCAGAGACACTTAAGCATGTACATAATCTACTCACTAGGAGTTTGACTAGTCTAATTATGTTCTAGCTGACCGTTATTTTTCTTTTTGCCCTGAACTACTTACTATACGCGACGCCGTGGTATCCGCGTCCCCACCCAATGTGATGCATCGAGTCCCCTCTTCTCCTTTCCCTCCCTCGTATCTCTCGGGATAAACGGGAACGGGATGTTCCAGATTCTCTCCAATCAGCGTGAGTGGTGAAAAGAATTTGCTTGGCTTTTATTCGTATTTTGGAAAGGTACAGGACGGGCACGGTGTCGGGATTTGAATATGCCTCTGGTGATTAGGTTAGAGGCCTTGCCCTTTTCTCTCTGGGTCGCCGTTGAGCTTGGACGCGGCCGCGGGTGCGCTGTTGTCTGTGCGTGCCTGGGCGGCCGGTGCCAAATTCTGGGGTGGGTTTGACTGATTCTCTGGTGCTGTGTGGTGCAGAGTGGATGCTGTCTCCTTTGCACTGGCAGTGTCTGTACCATGCAGATGGGATAGGGGATCAACCGACTTCGCTCTCAAAATCGAGGAGATACCGCCAGTAACGCATCACTAAACAGTAGTCCAGACCCTCTCAGACTCTTTTGGGCCCTCTCAATTGGGTTAGACGTCGCTAGATCGAGAATGTGACTATAGGGTTCGATGTCCAGGAATTGGACGCCATTGTGCTCAGCCGTGCTGGAAATCTCTCCCACCAATGAGATGACCTTTCTGGCACAATATAAAGGTACGGAATTTGGACCTCTTTAGGGTCTCTTCTGCCAAGGCATTCATGATCTGCTTGGGAATATGATGTCTCTTCTCTTCATCCGCAGTACATGTGAACGAAAGCTCGGCTACCTAACTAGTTGGAAGAGTGTCATGCCGTAGACTTAGTTGCCTTGTTCTCGACAGGATGCTCTGATAGTCCGGTAAGCACGGTACCCACCTCTGCAAAAGTCCAGTCTATCTACTGGGCTCCAAGGGTACGGGAGACGACGCATTCCATGCGGCGTCTGACAGCCAGATTCTTTACCGAGCTTGGTGAGGTTAGCTGTAGAGTTCTAGTGCATGTATAAGACCCATTCGGCTTTTCGTGCTTGTGCTTACCCTCGATAGTCCCCTCTGAAGCACCCTGTAGGGGTGAGAGCATCTTTTTGGGACCTCTACACGTATGTGAAGCAATTTTCAAGGGGATAACGTCATGATCTTCCATTAAGGTCTCAGGTCAGCAGGCAGAGACATCCCCATGATCAAGTCATCAGCGCAGTGGCCATGCTTCCAGGTTCAAGACAGCTCCTGGTCAATGCAGATCGGTGTTAGAACGGAGTAGATCGATTGCCCTTCGAACCTTCCTTGTTGCTAAGATCAATGCATATTAACCTGAGGAGTAAAGGATCACCTTTGATATTATCAGCAACATCCATGTGATAGGCGAAAATTACGAGGCTGTATGAGGTGTGGCATGTTTCATGCTATAGTATCCCACTAGCCATATCTCAGTATCCTTAGTCCAATATCCGAGCAGGGCCTTCATTGCCATATGCCATCCTTACCTACCCCAGAATCATGCTAGAGGATGTTTTAGGTTCCTGACGCAAGGAGCGATGGCCACATACCCATCCGTGTCTCGGCTATGTCCGTCACTGTCAATCTGCTACAACCCCTATGGGTGATTGCGTTTCCATGCTTGCCTGATACGCTCATCCAAGATGCACCATGTGGCTGTACACAAATTCCGTCCCCTTACTTCTTTCATAGTGCGAGACATATCATGGATTCCGGCATAACTCGGTATTTCTATGTCCGGATAACAATATAATGATCACTGTACGTTAAGATGGGCAATGTACGTATTATTTAGGATATGTGGGTTCGGAGTATGTATGTTAGTGTCCAATGTGGGATAGACATCATGGTTCCCATAGAAGGAAGGGCAAAACACTTACTTTGCCAGCACATTAACTGATACGGGTGTGCTCCGCGTCATCATTGGACTTTCGTCTAGGGCTTGGTACAGGTGTGCAGCTGATGTGTCGCAAGGGTCTGGGAAGGGAGGCACTGTTGACAATTTGAGTGAATAGTTGGGCACAGATGCACCCTATATCCACCATTCTTAGTCGGTCACCAGAGGAGAAGATGCATAGTGGCGTAATTGCGGTTTTTGAGTGTTGTCGACGTCGATCCAAGGCCTCTGACCGAAACTTTGAACACTTTGATGTTATTCCTACTTCTAGTCATGGCAACATGTCGTTGTCATGCAAACAGACAGGGTGGATGCGTTCACTTCCTTACATTCAGCTTATCATATTCTGTCTCGCGCGTTGTTCTCCAGTCTCGGTGCACATGATTGGGTTAAGTTGCCTTGCAAGTTCGCTGGTGAATCCCGTAGTTTAAACGACTGCGAGTCAGGTTCAGAGGACCTAAAACAAACCCTCTGCTTGAGCGCTGCTGAAGAAGAGCATAACAGTCAGTCGAGCATACTGAAATAAATGCATATATGTGAAGACCAAGGGATGAATACTGATGTGCTAGTCCTCAGACAAGTTATTGGCGCAGTAGTTTCAGCTCTGCTTCTAGTACCGGTGTGCGGACTAGGATGTTGATTTGACAAGTGACGAGCACTGTTCAGAAACAGGCAGCGAATGTCATGATAAGAGAATACCCATCTGGAGTTGCTGTAAGCCAGTGTTAGACACTGGCACAGCCTTCTATTCTCAGATAGTCCTGCTGCTGCACCGGTCACGGATGGATTGTCGACTCAGTTGATGAAGTCAGTCACGACAGCCAAGTTGGGAGAATGCTCCACATGCTTCTGGTAACTTGACAAAGTCATTCAAAATTCCAGAGCCCTGATGCAGATAATAAAGTGTAGACACTGGCCTTCGAGAATAGTGTTTGGCAGGAGATAGTCTTGTGGCGGCGAAGAGGCAATGATTGAGAGGATCAGGGCTTTCGTTGAGAACCTGTACTGCAGTGACAAAATACTAATCTTTAAGTTAGCTCTCGTACTATTAGTATTAACCATCGATATGATGGTGCTCTGCATCCGACATTTATGGAGTAAGTTGATTGATGGTGCTGATCATCATGCCAAATGACGGTATGGTGGGATAGATATATAATCGAGTGCTCGGGTAAGTATGCAATCAACATCATACTTGTAGTATGAGGAGTTAGAGTCCACTATATATTTAGATAAGTAGGAGTAGCCTGGAATATACATGACTTTGATAGTAAATAAACTTCAGGACAACTTCATAGAAAGTGAGTCGGAACCAAAGAGTTCCAAAAAGGGAAGCCGCTGGGCGGCAGCACGTGGTCCCGCGTTTTCTCCGCGTCGCGCACGAGATGACCGAGGGTCTCCAGTGTCGACTTCCTCCACCTCCACGCTTATGGATCTTTTGTCGGTCCTTCCGGACTTCCCTACCAAGCCATATGCTCATATTCTCCCGCCTCTTGAGCGAAGCCATATCAGCACGGTCGACTTGATCACTCTCGACACTCTCGAAGTCGCAAAGCGTGCTCGTGTCCCTCCCGCCGATGTCCGCCGCCTGTCCGCTCAGATCATAAGAGCTCTCCATCATGATGTCGGTTTCAAGGAAAACAGAGATCCCGATGCTGATGAGCCAAGCTCCAGCCTCAGTGTCGACGTTCCTGTCTTCCCAGGCCCGACAACCAAGCTAGACCTATCACAGTGGAGCGCAATTAGTACCCTCGACCCCACGTTGGACGCTCTGCTCGATGGCGGCATACCGACGGGTTATGTGACTGAGGTAACTGGTGAGAGGTGCGTATACTCGCTCCCCAGAGTGAGTCCATTCGTATTCGAGACGTCCTGACCTAATGGCTAACCGGTCACAGTGGGAGTGGAAAGACGCAATTCCTTCTCACCCTTCTTCTGGCCGCTCAACTCCCTGCACCTCGTGGCCTGGGCAAGTGTGCCATATACATCTCCACAGAAGCTCCATTATCGACACCACGGCTTTCGCAGCTCATTGAATTCCATCCATATCTCTCTACCTTGTCTCAAGCCCGCAAGCCTTCGCTGGAGAATATATTGTCCATCAATGCCATGGATCTCGAGGCACAAGATCACATCCTCAACTACCAACTCCCTGTCGCAATCATGCGATATAATGTTGGACTCGTGATCATCGACTCCATAACTGCAAACTACCGGGCGGAACATTCGTCCCATAATCTGTCGGGGTTGTCCACACGCTCTGGCGAGCTTGCCAGATTAGGCCAGATGCTGAGGAACTTGGCTGTGGACGAGAATGTCGCAGTTGTAGTAGCGAACCAAGTTTCTGATCGCATTGAAGCTGCTGGCAGGCATCCAACACTATCTCGTTTGAATGGCGGTGCCATCTCACCTATTCCTTCCACACAACAGCAAGTGCTGTCGTCACATCACGACTCAGAAGCTGCTACACCATTATCAAGAAGTCGACCTCTTGAGTCCCGAAATGTTGAATTGACTCCACATAATCCTGTCCTCCAACCATCACCCTCTAGTCTTCCCTCATCACCGTTCACCACGGAGGATGATCCGCAGCAGCAGCAGTTCGACGGGTCATACCTGATTGGCAACCCTGTACGAAACGAGATTTTGAGTCTTCTACACCAACAGAGGTTCTTCACTGGGTGGGGTGACACGCTACAACCTACTATTTCAAGCCTGTACCCAGCTTTTCAACAAACCGCACAAAAGACCCCAGCTCTGGGCTTGGTTTGGTCTACCCAGATTGCATGTCGCATTGCACTGAAGAAGGAGAGCCGCTTCGTGGATTGGGAGGCCATCCTAGAGGATACCTTTGTCTCCAGCGAAAAACAATTGCTGCCTACAGCAAGAGAACAGGCTAATGAGCCTTCGGAATCACGAGTACCAACGGAGAGTGAAGAACATACTAGAGCGCACAGCCCTGCAGTCTCTGCACCACCGGACGAGACCGATGCAGTAGACGAGAAGACGAATCTCGGTGTCCCGAATATTGTCCGTGATGATCATGCAACAACTGGGCAATCCTTACCAATGTCAACACAGGCAGTTACACGAGGCGTCCGGAGGACCATGAAACTTGTTTTTGCCCCCTGGACTGCCGGACCAGTCACAGAACAAGGCGAAATCCAACACGAGGCGGAGTTTGAAATCTGGAAGGGTGGGCTGAGGGGCTGTACAGAAGATTTTGACACCATATAGCACGATATTCCCTGTCACGATTTACGACACGAACAATATATTTCTGACTCACTTTTTTTCCACTTCCTACTTCTTCTTTTGAATATACTTTTTCTTTTTGTAAAACCGTCCGAGGCCTTCCTGCTGGATACTGACCAGGGGTCTCACCTGTTCCGGGACTAGCGTCTGTTTTCGGCGTCTGGCGGAACGGGCGCCCCCGCAGTTTTGTTTCCTTTCTTTCCTTTGCCCACCACCACCAACTAACATTAACTTAACTCACCCAAGGTTTAAGCTCTTCAGTGCCCTTCCCACACGCCCACACTATTCCCACCTTAATTTTATGCTTACTTTTTGGGTTGGGTCAATGTGATCACTAGTGCCCAGGTGTCAGCCTCCCAATAGTTTGTTGCTTTCTTTTTTGATGCGGTGGGTCCGTCCGGACGCTGTCAGCCAGCTGGGGACTTGCTGAGCTTCTCCCATTCCGCTTGTTCGTTCGACCCTTCGGTCTTCAGTCTTCGGATATGAAGGATGCTTGGTCAGACATACGAGATCCAACTCTGACCGCGAAGTAGCAGTCAGATTGTCCATAACGATGGTAACAGAGGTCTGTATCGAGGTCCGTATCGAGGTCCGCTCAAAGACAAAGGAGAACTAGAAGATTACTCGATTCGAGCTGCACTGAAAGCGTGAAAGCTGTTTGATGATCATATTACGCGATTCTCCTCCGGATTACATTCATAATAATGGACGATTAAATCAGACATGACGTTGGCCCTTCTACACGTTCAAATCCTTACCCCATGTTCCGTATACGCCTTCAGCTCGAAACAACTCGCAGTTGGTCTATGACATAACAACAACAGGAAGTGTCATACCGTGGCCCATGTCGATCCTGCGAAAGCACCACGTGATGCGGAAAAAAAGAAAGTTGACGAAAAAGGTAAAAAAGAATTCCAAGAAAGAAAGAAAAAAAAGATATCACTCGTTCTATGTACGACAGACATGCTCTATTTTTCAAGCTTGGCAGGAGGAACTCCAATGCCGTTCGTGTTACGGTAGAAGAGCACTCCGGAGCTCTCACCCTTGGCACCCTCGGTGGGCTCAACCCAGTGGCACACACGGGCACTATTCCAGAGAGCCTTGAAGAATCCGGTCCAGCCAGTGTGGGCCTCAGTCCGGTAGTGAGATCCCATGACCTTCTTGATGGCCTCGCTGGCCTCATCGGCGTTGTAGAAGGGGATGGTGCTGACATAGTGGTGGAGAACGTGGGTCTCGATGATACCGTGGAAGATGTGACGGCCGACGAAGCCGAAGTCACGGTCGATGGTGGCAGCGGCACCACGGGCGAAGTTCCAGACATCAGGCTGGTAGTGGGGGAGGGTGGGGTCGGTGTGCTGGAGGTAGGTGATGGCGACTATATGTTCCGGTCAGTATTCGTTCCAGCAATTGTGCCATTTTGTTAAGGAAGTAACTTACCCAGCCAGTGGTTCACCCAGAGGTAGGGGATACCGTACCAAACCAGAAGGTTCATCCAGCCGAACTTGGAGCCGACCAAGTACAGAATGCTTCCGACAATGGCGAGACCGATGTCACTCAGGACGATGAGCTTAGCATCCTTGGCCTCGTACAGAGGGCTAGACGGGTTGAAGTGGTTGACACCGCCGAAGTAGCCGTTCTGCTTGCCCTTTCCACGGCCCTCAGGCTGACGTTCGTGGTTGTTGTGGCCAGTGACGTTGGTGAGCAGGTACATGGGCCAACCGAAGAGCTGCTGGAGAAGGAGGTTGGAGGCAGTGGCGATGGGGGTTTCCTCCATCAACTCATTGAGTTCGTGCAGAGCCTTGCCGACGCGAGTGGCATACTGCTCGCGGGTCTTGGGCACGAACACCATGTCGCGGGCAATGTTACCAGTGGCCTTGTGGTGCTTTCCGTGGGAGATCTTCCAGGAGAAGTAGGGCACCAGAAGAGCGGAGTGGCAGATCCAACCAACAGTGTCGTTGAGAACCTTGGAGGGAGAGAAAGCCTGGTGACCGCACTCGTGAGCCAAAACCCAGACACCGGTACCGAACAGACCCTGCACGATGGTGTAAAGAGCCCACAGCACGACTCTTGCGGGCTTGTAGGGGACGGTCTCAGGGGTCACGTAGTTGTGGAAGACATAGAAGATGGTCGCGAGCCAGAAGACATCCCGGAAGACATAGTACAAGCTGGTGAGAGCTTTGCGCTCATAGCAATGAGCGGGAATGGCATCACGGATCTGCTTGATGGTGTAATCCGGGATCTTGAACTCGTTGCCATAGGTGTCCAGCATCTTGCCGCTGGCCTCTGCCTCCGACGCCAACGACGACAGGGAAGTGGACGAAGGGGACTGGCGAGGGCTGTCCAGCGGGGAGGGGGTGACCGAGCTGGGAACGGACGAATCCGTAGCATTGCGGTGCAGCGCAACGCGCTTGGGGAGAGCTGTGGAAGACATGTTGAAGCTTGCCCACAAAAATGTGTTCTCGAGCTCGAAGACGGTGAAGTCTAGAGTTTGGAAGCTCTGTTAGCCAGAGTTCAATGCCGCAGCCTGTGCAAAGAACAAAGTCAAGTGAGGTGCAACATACCAATGGATCAGGAACACGGCGCCAAAGCTGTAGCAGCTCAAGGTAGGCACTGGATGGAGTTGAGCTCCCACGCGGCGAAGGAGACGAAGGGTTGGGATCGGGGAGGGGGAAGAAAAGAGGGAAGGAGAGGTAGGGTGACAATCGGAAGGATATAAATGGTCGCCTCCAAAGAGCCTTGACCGGAGGGAGAAGTGGGACGGGGTGGTTCAAAGGGAGAGAAAAAAAGCGGATGGACAGAGGCGAAAAGAGTGAAAGGAAAAAAAAAGAAGGGCGATTGTTTGATGATCACCTGTTCAGCGTTCAGCAGAACCCGGGGAGAGGAGGGGGGAGGCAAAACAAAAAAGAAAAAATGAGGGTCCCTAAAAGAGGACAAAAAAGAAAAATTGCAAAAGAGGAAAAGGTAAGGGGGAAAAACACCCAAGAACCAAACGAACGCGAATTGATTGGGGAAGACTGAATTTCTAGTGCAGTCGAAGAAGAAGAAGCCCAGAAGGCAAAGCCATCAAGAAACACCCGATCTGGATGTAAGTCCCGCCGGGCCCCTGGACTGGTAATTTTGCGTTACGGGGGATCTCCCGCGAAAAATTTGTATTGGGTGGGACACATCTGATTGGTCAGGGGCTGCCGCGTTGATACGGGACGGGGTCCCGACTTACGAGAAGATTACGACCCGACAACATTACACTCTGCAGTATTCGCATTCTCATCTCACTCTGTCCTGTCATTTTGGCCTCCAGAAGGGATCGGGTGGATGGATAACCTCGGCGGCGCTTACTGGACCATCTCAGCGCGGTTTGCCTTTTGCGTGACATGCTCTACATCTGCAGATGGTTTCATCACTGGCTCGATCGACGCATCTGGCAAGGTAGTAGGAAGTTAATCTGCTTGACTCAAAGCAAGATCATGGAGAATCTGGATACTTGAGCCGAGGTCGACACAGGAGTCTGGTCTGTGGCTTGCCCGAGATGCGCATGCCTATGAACCCTCTAGGTTGCGGGCCATCCGTGACTGGTTGATGCGATGTATACGCCACCTGTTGCTTGCTTGGAAGGGGGCGGCTGATCCGTCCGGCCTGATTGCCAGAGGCGAGAGTGTCATTTGCATTCCGGGGTGTGCTCACTGCTGAGGGATTATTCTTTGCCCCCCTTAAGCCGAGATCCTCCACCGCATGGGCTCTCTCTCACCGCACGCCAGAAGATCATAAGATTGTGTGGTTGCACTCCTGACTAACCGGCCATGTGGCTCGAGTATTGCAAAATACTTCACGTTCCAGAAACAAACCCGAGCATAGGTTACCAGGGACCATGAACCGCGGAGGCTCACCGCCCCGCTGGAACCAATAGGGATTTGATTTTAGGCCCCACAGCCGGGTAAGAGGGAGAATTGGCTTCCCAACAATCTTGGCAGCTTTCCCCCTTGGGCGGTAGGCATGAACCCCGATGAAGAATTACGGTTATTATTCCAGTTTGATTATCGGAGGGGGCTGGTCGTTGGCCCTGTGGCATTCGGATAATTTTTACTGGTCAGTCTCACCAGTCACCATGCGAGAACAGATGACACCTCGGATGGAGACGAAAAAAACAAAAAGAGACTAACTAGTCAGTATGAATGGGTCGGAGATGATTCGGGCATCTTATCAGAAATCAAGAACTGGAGAGGATCCCAGCTGAACTACAGTACCTACAAAACACAAAGAGTAGGGATGATCCTACCCCAGCCAGCTGCTCACTGCTTGCTTCACTCCTACACCCTGACAGACAGACCCTTTTGATTTTCTTCATATCTTCACATGCCGTGGGTATGGTATTCTCGATCGATCCCACCAACTAGCCTCTCCCAAACCAATGCGTGCGTCCAAATTCAACAGAGGTATTGAACGGATCATCGACTTTTCGCACACGAACGGTCCTGAGCGCGACAAGGTCTGGTCTCGAATCGAATGAATGAATGAAGAACCCCCATGTGATTTTCCTCCGCATGCAGGATGTATCTACCGACGTGTGGACAGTAGTGGCGCGCCTTACAGCATGTATCAACGGAGTACAAAAGTAGTTTCCAGCTCCACGACTCGAACACAAAGCGGCAGAATCCACTTACTGTGTACTGGGATGGGCTTGGAATGGCCCTTAGACTTTCGGCGGCGCGGGTGGAAAAACTTTAACAAACGCAAGAGCCCCCCTCCCCGACCAGCCAGCCCAGCCCATCCAGCAATACAACTTACTCACTTGCCACATTAGAGAACGAGAAGTTATCGGGTAATGCGAAATACACATGTAGGGTATTTTAGGGTAAAAAAAAGAGAGTAATTGTTCATCCTAAGGAACTGAAGATAATGAGAACCGAAGAAAAGGATGATGGGGGAAGAGAAAGGAAAGTCTGATGCATGTGATTGTAAGATATGGAAGGTACGCCGCGATACCTTCCCCAACTTCTATCTACTACTTAGTAACTATATAGAACAACATGAAGTAAATCCCACCCACTCAATTAATTCCTCGACTCAATAATTATATACCTACATACATACAATGTCCATAAATAACACACACACACATACATACATACATACAACACCAATAAACCCCCTAAAAGCAAAACCAATCCAAGCAAAGCAATCCAAAAGTACTACCAAAAGTAGAATAGTTCTGCGTTTGGCAACGCATGTCAGCATCTGTTGGGACACACCAGCCATTTTGTTGAGATTGGGTCCCGGTGGGGCGGGGGGAGAAGTAGCTGATCGGGAAACAAGGATATGTGGGGGTGGGAAAAAAAAAAAGGGCGGGCGCGTGTGTCAATCAATTACCGAGTAGGTTAGTTACTTACTACTTTGCAATATGGGCAGTCAATTCAGTTCACTGACTTTAAACTCGCACTTGATAGTTATGCTATTTGAGTGGTCTGGTGGGAGTGAGTAGGTTTTTGTGTAACATTATCTCTTAGGTTTGGATATCTGGTGATCGATTATTTATTGGTATCATTACTGGAGTGGGTTTGGTGGTGAGGTGATGTGTGTCTGTTAGTTAGTTAAAGGAGGTGTTTAATGTTCTATTGTAGTACAATTTTAACGGAGATGATGCTAACTAACTAAGGTCGGTAAGAGTAGTTTAGTTAGTTAGTATGGTATGCTGACCTTATCTGGTGGGAAAAGTATGTGTGTAATGGAGTGTATGTATTGTTATGGGGGTGTATTTTGTATTTGTGGATAATTTGCAATTGAAGTTGGGTGATGAATGAAGGCGGTTTGATGTATATTGTTGGACTACGTAGTACACTTCATCTTCTTATCAATCCATTGCTTGCTAATAATACTGTCTATGGTATCATGGTTTCAAATATATCCCGTATAGTCTATACAATATACACATGCATTGTACCTGGCTTCTAAGCTATGCTATGTAGGTAGTAGATATGTAGGAAAAAATTTACTCTATGAGCTCGTTACATGCAACCGCTCCGAATCAATCAACCACGCCCCGCCATGACTGCCTCCCGACAGTGACAGGCTCACTGTCGTCGTGCGGAGATCGGGTAATACCAGCACGGTCTCGCCGTGGTTGCGGTAGTCGACCTCGCAAGGAATGGGTCGGCGCTGCAGCGGTGCCACTGCCGCTGCGGCGGCGGCCGTCATGGACCCAGCTGTCACGGGCTGTCCAAGGTTGGGGCTCATCGTCTGGGCCCCGGTCGCTGTCGTCGAAGATTGAGACTGCGGCTGGGGCAGAGACGATGAGGATGTTGGGGATGGTGGCACAAAGGACCTGATTTCTAAACCCGGAAGAAGGAGGTGTCCGGCTTTCTGCGGGAGTAGCATGATCGCAAAGGTCTTGGTCTCGCCTTCTTCGGCGGTGAAGTTTCCGCGGCGTCGCCCGCCAACGAGCCATGTTTCGGGATTTGCGTGGATCTCGTACGAGAAGTCAAGCGGACCGCCTGCGTTCTCGCGATGCTCCGGTGAGCACCACCGTCGTGTATGACGTATGCTGAGTTCTGCAGCAATCATCTGTCCAACTGCCGCATGGGGAGGCTGCTGTGCCAGATTGGTGAGGCGGAGCTCAGCTGTGTGCACAACTTGAATCTCTGGGATGTCAACGGGGATGACGATGTGTCTGCTGCGTACGGCTGGAGAGTCTGGAAGGCAGATGACCGGGTGATTCTATTTGGGTCAGACTAGAGAAGCAAGGGGGCCGTCAGTGGGATGTACGGGTGACTTACCTTATGCCAGTCCATAAGCCAGGCCTTCAGTCCATCCATTGGCTCCTTCAACGCACTCAGCAATGTCTCCCAGTGGGCATTCGCAAACTGCAGTGTTTCCACCTCTCGGACGAGGCCGACAACTTCCATGTCGGAAGTCGATAGCTGTGAGCGAGTCGTCTCAACAATGTGGGATGTGAGCAAACTTGTGTATTGATGAAATTCGCTAGCTGCAATGCTTGACTTGAATGTCTGCTCGACTGCATAGAGACATTCATCGTCCACGCAAGTAAAATCGACGCTTAGTCGCAGGGACCGTCTTGCTCCCGGAGTGGGAACGCTGTCTGGCCGCTGTCGAATCTTGTAGAGAAGAGATGCAGGTTGTTTGGCAAATACATTCAGTGCCACAGAATCACCAATACTCGACTGCACCTCATAAATGTCTGAGCTTGGGATTTGGCACTTTAAGATCCGGAGCGGTATCAGCATAGCCGGACTGATGGTAAACCGTGAGAATAGGACACTATCCTTGAAGACATCCTGCACGTTGACACTGATCGGCAAGCCTGAAATGATGTTGTGCACCGAGGAGTAAGTAAACCGCCCCTTCTCTGTCTCGTATGACACTTCGGCCCTTGCAGAGAGCATCGGGTGGTGTTCCTCGACCGTGTAAGGGATCCGGAACCGAACGAACGAGTTGGGTTTCAACTGAGTGAACTCAATGTTCCCAGAGTCACTATGGGCTTCGATGTTGATGTCACCCTCTACCAGTTCGGTTTCGGTCGTTCTCAATCGAAGACCAGCAGTGGCAGGTCTCACTCGAAGAGTCCCGCTCTTGATGTCATTCCATCCACTACTGAATTCCAGCTCTAGTGTTCGTAATTCCTCCAGATTGACAAAGTGCGGTGATACGATCTTTGCCTGGAGGCCGTCCGGTGGCGGAAAACAGTAAATGAATGGCCGACTATCCTCTTCCTCGGCCTCTGCCTCCCTGAATCCCACTGGCAGGGACGCATGCTTCCCGCCACCAAAAGTGAAAACAATGTTCTTCGCTCGCATTTCAATGCGGTCCACGAAGTATTTACCTTGCAGTGTTATCTAATATAGTCAGTATCTGTCAAGAAAGCAACAGCACAAATAGCTGCGACCCGTACTCACCGGAGAGTCGACCAACACCCTCGTCGACGACGACTTGATGGTCATTTTGATAGGAGCCTCTAGCCAATGCTCATTACTCTGAGCATTGTGCGCACCCACCAATCGCAGCTTGATAGAATCAACATCAATGCGCTTTCCCAAACAAAAGCGTAGGTACAGTTGAAGCTGGAACCCATCCTTGTCCTCATAGTGTAATATTGCAGGCTTGACGTTGATATCCGCAAAGAAATCAGTCATGGGGGCGATGACTTCTTTCTGAAGGGAACCTGATGCCTTGAACAGCTCCTCAACGTACTCAGAAATCAATGCATTTTCCGCAAAGATATGCGACGCATCTAGCGTCTTCTGCCGCTTTGACAGGTTGGACTCTGTATAACTGGCAAACTTTGCGAGAAGACGGAGGATCACCCGGACGTATTCTTCACTGCGATTAAGCTCTTTCAGACACCGGGTATACATTTCCAACATAATGCCCTCTAGCACAATCCAGTTCTTACTGCCATAAAACGGAGCAATGTGATGGAAATAAGACGCTGCCGCCCCATAGTCGCTCTGTCTGTAGCGTATGAGGGCCATGTCAGCAAGTGCGGCCTGGGTTGAGTACGTCCGATTTGCAGCGATGTGGTGACGGTACATCTGATCTGTAAGATCTTCATAATGCACACGGAAAGCCTTTCTGGACTGGAGAGCTAGCTTCAAGCCAGGGAGATCG